ACCTCTGTCCCATTCGTGTTTCTACCATAAAGCAGTTGTTTGCATGGCTGTGTTTCAGTTTGAAGGGTGAGATATGACAGTGAGTTTACAGGGTACATAGGAATAACACCTAAGTCCTCAAGAATGGCAAGGCATGGGGGGTATCATGGGCGAAACAATATACTCTGTTATGTCCATCGTACTGCTCATGTCTATAGGCGACGGTTACCACTTTCCATCAGGTGGGCTGTCAGCTTGTTTACAATTCTAGGTTGCATAAAAAATAAACTTTTTGTGCAAACAGTCCACTTGTTGCAAAATCGACTTGAATATAAAAAAAAATACAAATAAATTGAGTACTTCCTCCTTTTTGAAGTCGATTCATGCTTTAACACCTTGATGAGTTTTTATATAATTTGGTGCACATATGAACCGAATTCAAAAGCAATATAGCATTGTGCTTTGCAAAAAAAAGTTATATCAATGCTGAGCACATACACACCGACAAACGAAACGAGAGATTTTGTAGACACATTAGACAATTTAAAATCTTTGAATATAGAATGCAGAATTATATGTTTGCAAATGAATTTTCTTTCGTAATATGAATACAAGCAATCGTCACATATTAACTAACAACTGTATTGGTAAATCTGATATGTATATATTATATATATTAGATTTACTAGAAATATGTATATATTATAAATAAATAAATAAACTGCATTGCTAGTAATAGACCTAATAGGGTACTATGGGAGGAAAAGGGATTGTTAGTAATGGAGACTAAAAATCCCATTGCTAGCAATATATCCAACCAGGTCGACCTCCTCGCGGTTCCCCCTGGAAACTATCATGATTAATTCCTGATGAATTTATCATGATGGGGTAACTGGCCTGTTTTCATCCTCATCGATCACCTTTCACTGGTGCCCCGCCAGCGTATCCCATTAGCGCAGGCGAGGTAACCACTCCATTTTCATCCAATAAAAAAAAAATAGGGTACTATCATGTCAACTTCCATATTTTTTCCAGGTTTTTATTTGATTATGTTACAAACAATATAGGGTATATTGTTTGTAAGTCAAGTATTTTTTTATGCAAATTAGAATGACAAACAAGCTAAGGGCCCACCTGATGGAAAGTAGTAACGTCGCCTATAGACATGAATAGTATCATGGACATAACAGAGTATACTGTTTTGCCCATGATACCCCCCCATGCGTTGCCATTCCTGAGGACTCAGGTGTTACTCTGTGTACCCTGTAAATTCACTGCCATATCTCACCCTTCAAACCGAAACACAGTCGTACAAACACAACTGCTTCACAGTAGAAACACGAATGGGACAGAGGTGTCCAAACAAACGACTTTTGTACAAAGTCTTCCTCTAGTAAAGTGTAAAACTGCATCCACAGAACTTTCTTACTATTCAATTTATCTTGTATTAATAAAAAAAAAACAAGTAACAGAGCGTCTACGACTCTAAATGGACGTCACTCTTCAGTCATTTTAACGGAAAATGTCCTTCCCTACGCCGCGCTTTCGAAATGACCAAGGAATGACGTCGTATTTATGTCAAAGTAATAAAAGATTTATTTTTAAAAGAATTTTATTTCTAAAAATAATGAAATCAAACGTTTTACCTCTAAATATGAAACAGAGTCGTAAAACGTAAGTCCTCTCGTGCTGTAGGCATCAATAAGTTCACACTTCACAGTTTTATTTCAGCAATTCGTATTCGATGAAGTTTATTGGGTTTTTTAATGGTCGTAAAAAGAACGGTAAACATGAATACAATGTTAAAGAGCCATATTATTTCCCTTTTTTTTATTGCGAAACGTTTAAATCTTAATGCTTTTATAGTTTTCTGCGCAGCCAACCGTCAGTCCTGTATTCGAGTGTATTTTTTTTTACTATTAAAAGGGTCCCGCAATTGATCACAGTCTCAACTGATGGAAAGCGGTGATGTGGTCTAAGATAAGGCCCACGTATAGCCTATTCACATTTGCCTTAAATTGGTGCAGATTATATTAAAATGGAAAAACATAAGCAAGGAGAGAGTTCCGCTGCTTGGCCGTGCGCATGATGAAGGACCTTCATCTACCGACTTCAAAAAGAGGAGATTTTCCATTCGTTTTTTATTGTTTGTCTTACACTGTTTAATTCTAAATCGTGTGTAATGAGTATTTTTAAAGGATTTGTCTCATCTACTCACTAATATTATTTTTTTTTTCTTCCTTTTATAGAGTAAACTCTTGTGTTACTTTTTGTGTACGGGTTTTATACGATATCTTGGCTAATTCTGATTTTGATGATATTTTTTTTCTCTATTATTTTTATTCTTGTTTTTTTTACTTATAAAAAAATATAGGTCATTGGTAATCGTTGAAGTGATTATATGTATGGTATTGAAAATTAATGATTACCCATTCGAATTATTTGGTATCTATAGATATTTTATTGTCCGGTATCCGTTTAAAATATGTATTCATATTACATTAGTTAATGCCCAATCTGACATTATTAAACCCCTTTAAATTTGAATGGGTTAACACAAAAACTTCATTAGTATGCCAAGAGGTTCAGGTGTCAACCACAAACAGGACGTAAGTAATAAACGGAAGCGATTTTCAAGAGACTTCCAAAAAGAAAAGGCATTGAATTCATTCATATTTTTATAGTCGTGTATAAGTCGTATAAGATCATTAATCTTTCAGAAAGGAACAGTCTCTTATATTTAGTATTCTATACTTACTCCAATTTTTAATTATAAACTTTTGCTCATAAAAATAACAGTAATATATTTTGGCCGTTCTTGTCAGCTGAAATTAGAATTATAAAAAAATAACTATTCAAAACTTATTATAATTAATTTTACTCAAATAAAAATTCTTATTCTTATTTCTTGAAGGTTTCAGTGTTAAATCTGTTCGGGAATACAGCTGGGAGTTGAATCCATTATTTGATTGTACATGAAAGGCAGTATGCAAATAAAAACGCACACAAAAATGCACTTATCGCTAGAACAAAACGTTGAATTAGTATATTTAACATTAATACATTTGCAAATACCAAATAATATATCTTTTATTTTAATAGTTGAAATTACCATACCATATCAACCGTTAACTGTCCACTGCTGAACATAGGCCTTACCCATAATTGTCATGCGAAGAAGACATATTCTCTTTCTCCCTCTCGATTTCTGTTTTAAATTATGTGAATTTTTTTTATACAACTTAGAATGGCAAACAAGCTGATGGCCCACCTGATGGAAAGTGGTGACCGTCGCCTATAGACATGAGCAGTACCATGGACATAACAGAGTATACTGTTTCGCCGATAATACCCCCCATGCGGTGCCATTCCTGAGGACTCAGGTGTTATTCCTCTGTACCCTGTAAATTCACGCCATATCCCAACCTTCAAACCGAAACACAGCCATGCAAACACAACTGCTTCACGGTAGAAACACGAAAGGGACAGAGGTACCCAAGCAATCGACTTTTATACAAAGTCTCCCTCTGGTGAAAATCTGGAATGTATAAAATGTATAAATGAAATAATTAGTAATAGTACTTAAGAAATTGTAAATTAGCTTTAATTTATGTACTGTAATTGTTAATATTAGGTACACTAATGAAATGAATAAATGGCTATTTTTTTTTATTTATTTATTCTGTATTGCACAATAAAACTTTGTACAAGTGGCGAGCTTAATGCCATATGGCATTCTCGACCAGCTAACCATTGGGTAAAAACACTATATATACTAATATATGTGATTGCAACATTTTTTTTTTATCAATTATTTCTAAACTTTTATAGTATCTTCTTTAAAACTACAAATTGTTAACTACAATTAGTTAATGCGCAATAATTCACAGCAAAAACGCCATACGCTTTTCACTAACACCATACAACAATATTCCCCGTATCCTGTCACACAGATCCGAGCTGACAAAGGTCTGTGCAAATCGACAGTTTTTGGCAGGTGTCATGGCGTGTCACAGAGGCAGAGTGGTTTACAAAGTTGTCACGATTGACGCCAACATTAATGTGATTTGGCAATATCATTACAAAATCATTTGTTCAATTTACTAATATAATAAACTAGACGATGTTTGTGCATGGTGATGAGGAATCACCATCATCATTAATCATCAATAAATTATTGTTATTTAGAATGACGTAGCCACTTATCCCTCTACCATTATATTCCCTTAGTCGCCTCTTACAACAGCCACGGGAAAGGAAAGGGTGGCCCAATCTATGTTGGGACCGCACGGCAAAATAAGATGGTGTTTTTATATGGGTGAAGTGGAAAGGTCACCCTGCCTGTGCTATCGGTATACGCTAACGGGGCACCAGTGATGGGTGACAGGTGAGGATAGCAGGTCAGTTGGCCCATAATAACCAATTGAACAAGAAATAACCACTATGGTTTCCAGGGGGAACCGCGTGGAAGTCGACCTGATAGGGTGTATTGCTAGCAATGAGATTGTTAAATCTCATTACTAACAATTTCTTTGTCCCCAAAAGAACTCAGATGTTATTCCTCTGTACCTTATAAATTCACTGCAATATCCCACCCTTTAAACCGAAACACAACCATGCAAACACAACTCACCAGAGGGAGACTTTGTAAAAGTCGATTACTTGGGTAGCTCTGTCACATTCGTGTTTTTTCCGTGAAGCAGTTGTATTGTAGGGTGGGATATGGCGTGAATTTACAAGGTACAGAGGAATAACACCAGAGACCTCAGGAATGGCAACGCATGGGGAGTATTATGGGCGAAACAGTATACTCTGTTATGTCCATGGTACTGCTCATGTCTATAGGCAACAGTTACCACTTTCCATCAGGTGGGCCGTCAGCTTGTTTGCCATTCTAAGTTATATAAAAAAAATGTATATTTCAAATAAAAAACAACATGTATAACCAATTACTGATATACATCATATCTAGTATTTAATTTATCAAAATCAATTGTACATTAGCATAATCATGGTCATTAAATAGATATTGAATCTATATTGTTATTACATGAAAATTCAAAACAATTCAATACAATACGCACAAGATATAACACCTCTATTAATCATGACTAAAATATATTTAGGTTTATTTGCTCTATTGAACTGCGCTGTTTTTCTAAACTGTACATTGACTAGGGGTAAGTTATTATATTTTTTGATTTCTTTGATGATAAATTTGAGTTTATAAGCAAGTAAGATTGATATCTGATAGCATGCCTAACAAGTTAACTCGTAACTGTTATTGGCGCTATAAACTCTATAACTAGTTATAGGGTGAAAAGGTTTCTCCAGGGTCGGCAACGCGCGCGTAATACCCCTGGTATTGCAGACGTTCATAGGCTACGGTAACCGCTCACCATCAGGTGGGCCGTATGCTTGTTTGTCACCTCAGTGGTATAAAAAAATCGATAAATTTTGTCTGTCTGTATATTTGTTCCGGCATCAGATAAAACCTACAGCAGCAAATTGTATATGGCAGTGATTTTGCAATCTGTAAGGTGTGTGTGCCACACGTTGACCACGTGTGGCCCACACACACACAGAGGCATTGTTCGATGTTATAAAGATAGGTTTATTAAAAATAATGATAATTAAAACATTTGTATATTAATACAAATTAACAAAAAAATAAGTAAGGTCGTCGAAATATTATTTCGTACTGGAGGGGGTCATGAAAAAGGTTGAAAAACACTGATACTCGTATATGGTTTTCATAGTTGCATTCGTGTTGGTACTTCTAAAACGTATAAAGTCAAATTTATGTATGGGAGGGAGACTTTGCACAAAAGTCGATTGCTTGGGTACCACTGTCCCATTCGTGTTTCTATCATGAAGCAGTTGTGTTTGCATGGCTGTGTTTCGGTTTGAAGGGTGGAATATGGCGTGAATTTACAAGGTACAGAGGAATAACACCTGAGTCCTCAGGAATGGCAACGAATGGGGGTATCATGGGCGAAACAGTATACTCTGTTATGTCCATGATACTGCTCATGTCTATAGGCGACGGTTACCACTTTCCATCAGGTGGGCCGTCAGCTTGTTTGCCATTCTAAGTTGTATAAAAAAAATGTATAAATGATAAGTTATTATCACTTTATCAATTAAGACACGACCATAAATCTCACAATAAAGTCGAAATATCACGATAAATATTTGTGGGAAGAATTAATTTTATCCTCAACCGACTTTATTGTGAGAAAAAGGAAGTTCTTAATTCGGTTTTATGCGCAGAGATGTGGCATCTCTGTGCATCTTCTACCGAATTTATAATGGGGAGTGTTCTGAGGAATTGTTCGGATTGATACCTGCTGCTGACTTTCACCACCGTACAACCCGCCACAAACTAAAGTTTCATCCCAATCATCTGGACGAGTGGCGGTCTTCCACCGTGCATTTTTCAAGGCACTTTCTTCCATGCACAACCATTCTTTGGAATCAACTTCTCTTAAATCGTATTTCCGAACCGATACGACAACATAATCTTCAAGAAAAGAGTATATTCCTTTTTAAAAGGCCAGCAGCACACCTGCAATGCCGCTGGTGTTGTGGGTGATCATGGGCGGCGGTAGTCACCATCAGGTGAGCCGCATGCTCGTTTGCCCGGTGTATTCATCACAATCGACTAACTGACCTGCCCTTTCATCTCGCCTATCATCCCTCACTGGTGCCCCGTCAGTGTATACCGTTAGCGCAGGCGCTACCATTCCATTGTCGTCCATTCAAAAAAAACTATAGTTAATTACATTGAAAAACATCATGTGTGACTATGAAATGTTTACCAAGAAGAAAATTTTTAATCTTGTATTTTTTTACAGCGAGAAATGTACATCTTGTCGACCACAAAGGGTATATGAGAAGAGTAATTAACGAAGCCATGAGAGATGTGGAGAAGATGGGATGGTGGAATTTAGATATACCTGAATTTTCTATGGTCATAAAGTAAGTTATGTGTATGTATTTATTTATTTACACTTTATTGCACCAAATAAAAAGAGAAATAACAAATACAGTAAGTATTAATGAGAAGTGATACAAAAGGCGGCCTTATCGCTAAGCAATCTCTTCCAGACAACCTTTGGGTAGAGGACATTGAGAAAAAGACACAGGGTAGGTGACGCACTATTATATAAATATTATCATATACAAACATATATACATACATATACACACATAGATACACATTTAAACCAGAGGGAGACTTTGTACAAAAGTCGATTGCTTGGGTACCTCTGTCCTATTCGTGTTTCAACCGTGAAGCAGTTGTGTTTGCATGGCTGTGTTTCGGTTTGAAGGGTGGGATATGGCGTGAATTTACAGGGTACAGAGGAATAACACCTGAGTCCTCAGAAATGGCAACGCATGGGGGGTATCATGGGCGAAACAGTATACTCTGTTATGTCCATGGTACTACCCATGTCTATAGGCGACGGTTATCACTTTCCATCAGGTGGGCCGTCAGTTTGTTTGTCATTCTAAGTTGTATAAAAAAAACATACATATATTATATATACACAATCAAATATATACATAAACATACACATACTTAACAGCACACATACAACAGAAGAAAATGGCGAAGGAAAACGAAGAGAGAATACAGGAAAATAGTATGTATGATCTTTTTAACGCTTGTATTAATAGATTGCCGTGCCTGCAGCGCCATATTGTAATCCCCTCATCGACATCATCATCATATCAGCCCCTAACCGTCCACTGCTTCATGGTTAATTCCAGATGAATTCATCATGATGGGCTAACTGGCCTGTTTTCATTCTCATCTATCACCCTTCACTGGTGCTCCGCCAGCGTATCCCGTTAGCGCAGGCGGGGTTACAATTCCATTTTCACCTATCAAAAAAAATCGTCCACTGCTGAACAAAACCCAAGGGGGAGGCCCTTGGGTTTTGCCAGTAATTGCCACGCTTGGCAGGCGAATTGGCAATTGCATTTTGCCATCTGCCCATCTGCCCATCCCTACCTTCCCATAGTCGTTTCTTGCGTCACCCACGATAAAGGAATGGATGGCATTTTGTATGCCGGAACAATACGGCCATTAAAAATCCTACAATGCCTACATTAAGCCGTGTGGTTCCGACATAGAAGGGACCATTCTTTCCTCTCCCGTAGGTGTAAGAGGCGACTAAGGAAACATAATGGTCTGAGAATGAACTACTGACAAAAACGTCTAAGGCCTACGTTCAGCAGTAGACAGTTAATACTAATATGTTATGTATGAGTATGTAATATAATTTTTTTTTAAATATAATGCATTTTCTTAATATGGTAACTTTTTTTTTTCTTTTAGCGAAGACGTTCTACATTGGCCAGTAGTCGGTACAGTCTACTTCCGTCATGGTTTTACCACATCCATTCAACGGTTGGAAATATCGAATAGTATAAATCAAAATTGGAATTGGAACGTAGATGGCACTGCTGTGGTAAGAGTGACGGGGTCGCTTGTTATGCACGACGTAGTGGTTGGATTCGATGTGGAGTCGCATATAAATAATATTGTTCATCATTCTACTGCAACGTTCAGGCGTGCAACGCTTACTTGTAATATTGCGGTGAGTGATTATTTTTAAATGCCGAATCCAGTATCTCGATATGATGTATCACTAGTCATAAGCTATAAAAATATACGCACCTTCTTTTCTAGAGGCAGAATAACTGTTCCACGCATGTCACATGTCCAGCTAAAAAATGTACCAATTCCTGTAATATAAACATTTAAATACTAAAAATGTTTTTTACCAGAGGGAGACTGTACAAAAGTCGATTGCTTGAGTACCTCTGTCCCGTTCGTGTTTCTACCGTGAAACAGTTACGGTGTGAATTTACAGGGTACAGAGGAATAACACCTGAGTCCTCCAAAATGGCAACACATGGGGGGTATCATGGGCGAAACAGTATACTCTGTTATGTCCATGGCACTGTTCATGTCTATACGCGACGGTTACCACTTTGCATCAGGTGAGCCGTCAGCTTTTTTGCCATTCTAAGTGGTATAAAAAAAAGTTCACATTATTTTTAAATACGTATATAGGAAAATATGAAGCGATGAAAATTAATTCAGATGATAAGCGCTCGTGTTATAAATTTGACGTGTCTGTGTATCTATCTGTGGCGTTACATGTTCTAAACGAAAGGACACTCGCCATCTGCAGGGAATCTATGGGATTCACAACTTGAAACCAGAATGATCACGCACTGTGCAGTCCCGCGAACAATCAGGTTGTGGAATGTTCTTCCTGCCGAGGATTTCCCTAGAGACTGCAGTATGGTGTTTCAAAAATCGTATTAAGGTTTCTTAAGGGTCGGCAACGCGCTCGTGACATCCCTGGAGTTATAAGTATCCATAGGCAACGCTAACTCCGTTTACTATCAGATGGGCCGTATGCTTGTTTGCCACCATAATTAAAAAAACATTGTTAAAAAATTTTGTTTCAGTTATTCAAGAATATGCACACGAACGAAATGCATGTTACTGTGGATGTGTCACACCCAACTAGTTCCAATAGATTGGTATTCATGCCATCAGATAACATAACACAAGTTATAACTGCTTTAGTAAGTATTGTATATACTGTAGCTGTATCTCGTAGCATTACTCTTTACGGTTTTATGGCAGTGAATTTACATGGTACACAGAAATAACACCTGAGTCCTCAGGAATGGCCACGCATGGGGGGTATCATGGGCGAAACAGTATAATACTCTGTTATGTACATGGTACTGCTCATGTCTATAGGCGACAGTTGCCATTTTCCATCAGGTGGGCTGTCAGCTCCTTTGCAATTCTAAGGTGCTTAAAAAATACTCACATGAATACAAAGTGTCTCATGTTTTAATTTTGGATGTAACCTACCCGTGTGATTAATTTCATCCAAATCCATTCAGCCGTTTAAGCGTAATAGAGTAAAAAAATGTCCAAATACTTATACAAACTTTCAAATTTATAATCATCATTATCATGTCACCTCTTCCATTTTTGAAGTCGGATGAAAATAAAAAAATGCTTTCTATTTTCAGTACAACCAAAACAGTACCTTCACTGGCATCACTCAATGGGGACCGCAGATATTTGAACCAATCTTTTTAGACGTCGTTACAAACAAAATCGAGTTTCCGGACGTATGTTACGACTGTCCCGTGTCGTAATTATTTCATTAATAAAACTACATTAAAATAGTTTTTTACCTTTTTTCTTTACTATAAACTTTATCTGTGAACTGATAGAATTTAAAATTTAATATCCTAAATAAATATTCTAACATTAATTTAATTAATTTTTTTAATTAAATTAGAATAACTCCGTATTACTTTTTTAAAAATTGTCACTAATAAAATCTATTTCTAGCACATTTATTGCGGTGCATTCGTAGGAAATGTGCTAGAAATAATATGAATATTGGACTGTAAAATAATTTTGTTAATAAAAATATTTTTATACAGTTTGTTTAATTGTAATTTTGATAGTAGACTAATAGAATTTAAAATTTAAAAAAAAAATAATTCTTCAACTTAAACTTTTAAACAAATGTTTTTTTTTTATATTCTTGGGAATGAAATCAAATTTGTGGACGTTTGTAACGGTTATCCTGTATCGTAAAATTACTTTATTAATTAAAATATTTTTACATGCATTTTTTATTATAACTTTAATAGTACACGAATAGAATTTAAAATTAAAATACCTGCTCCGTTAGTCACAACCTCTAATTAAAAATTAAGTACTTGCAATCCGAACAATGGTTATACCTACTTTCTTTTTTAGACGTTATATGAAATAGCTATCCTGTGTCTTCAATTAATTTCGATAATAATAATTTAAGACAGAATTCCATAAAAAAAACATGACTTAAGTTGTGGCGAAATCAGGTATTTTGATTAGAAAACTAAACTACTTAATCGATTTTGATATAATTTTTATGAGACCAATCTGTAAGTATATCCTTTCAGATAAAATAAGGATTTTCCATATAGACGTATAACTAATAAAGTTATAAGGTGACAAACATAAAAAATACAACCCAATTTAAAACCTAAACTGAGGTACTACACGGTTTTATACCATCAGGTGAGCCGTATGCTCGTTTGTCCCCTGTGTTATAAAAAAAAAGCCCCCGCCTGCACTATCAATGAGCACCAGTAAGGGATGATATGTGACGATGATAGCAGGTCAGTTAGCCTATCGTGACAAAATCCACTACATTTAAACACGATGGTTTCAAGGGGGAACCGCGTGGATGTCGACCTACGTAGGATGTATTGTTAACAATGAGGCGGTTAAACCTTGTTACTAACAATCCCCTTTCCTCACTGTTGGCTGTGGCTGTGTTGGCTCACTGAAGACTTTCTCATGCTGCCTTTGTAGGATCCCAGGATATATGATGAAGAGAACACGTCTCTGAACAGGACTTTCCACACTATTGTCACATTCAATCGATATATCCTTATAATGCAGACAAAGTCACGGATAGAAACTAGTCTATACTAACATTATAAAGAGGAAATATTTGATTATTTGTTTGTTTGTTTATAATAGTCAAACTCGGCTGAGTTTAAAAATACTTTCAGCTATATATTATCAATGAGTAATATAGGCAATTGAAGGATAAGCAAGCTGACGAGGCAATGGGCTGGTCACATAGCTCTTAGAACCGACAACCGATAGGAAAGAAAGGTTTTTGAGTGGCGACCGCGTACAGGCAAACGCAGTGTGAGACCCCCCCCCCCACTAGATGGACTGACGACCTGAAATGCAATGCAGGGATTAGTGGATGCAGGTGGCTCAGTACCATTCTTTATAGCAGTCTATTTTTTTTATACAACTTAGAATGGCAACAAGCTGACGGTCCACCTGATGAAAAGTGGTAACCGTCGCCTATAGACCTGAGCAGTACCATAGACATAACAGAGTACACTGTTTCGCCCATGATACCCCCCCCCCCCATGCGTTGCCATTCCTGAGGACTCAGATGTTATTCCTCCGTACCCAGTAAATTCACGCCAAATCCCACCCTTCAAACCGAAACACAGCCATGCAAACACAGCTGCTTCACGGTTGAAACACGAATGGGACAGAGGTACCCAAGCAATCGACTTTTGTACAAAGTCTCCCTCTGGTCTATGGCGGAGGCTTATGTCCACAGCAGTGGACGGATAATGACTGAAATGATGATGAATATAGGCAGTATATTATTTTTGAAAATACTATCTATCCGTGCGAAGCCTAGCCGGATCGTTAGTATTACGTAAAAGTAATTTAGTATACAGCATACATAATCAGACAATAATAATAAGATGCTCTTTGGATGACATTGATAAGCACTTTCCTTACTGATAACACACAATAGATACTAGATATAAATAATCAAATAACATTTAATTAAAAATAAAAGACCATTCTAAAGAATAATAATAAAGTTTAAAGGAACATACCTGTCTGATATGGTTGTCAACCGTGATAAATTATTTATTTATGTTACCAGAGGGAGACTTTGTACAAAAGTCGATTGCTTGGGTACCTCTGCCCCATTCGTGTTTCTACCGTGAAGCAGTTGTGCTTGCATGGCTGTGTTTCGGTTTGAAGGATGGGATATGGCGTGAATTTACGGAGTACAGAGGAATAACACCTGAGTCCTCAGGAATGGCAACGCATGGGGAGTATCTTGGGCGAAACAGTATACTCTGTTATGTCCATGGTACTGCTCATGTCTATAAGCGACGGTTACCACTTTCCATCAGGTGGGCCGTCAGCTTGTTTGCCATTCTAAGTTGTATAAAAAAAAAAATCACAGCATTATATAAGTATAAATGTTATTATATCAATCTTACTATTACCATTCGCCTTGTGGTCCCGGCATAGAATAGGCCACCACTTACTTACCCGTAAGTGTCGTGAGTAGCGACTAAAGAAGGGCCAAGGATGGGCAGTAACGTCCCTCTTAAAACATTTCCAAAGCCTGACTGCGGTTGCCAATCTGCCTACCAAAAATGGCAACTACTTATTATTAACATATACAATATTAGCCGTTAACTATCCACTGCTGAATATCGGCCTCCCCCATAAAGGGTCGTTTTGCCAGTAATTGCCACGCTTGACAGACGGGTTAACAACCCCAGTTGGGGGAAAGGGATTATTAGTAATGGAGACTGAGAATCCCATTGCTAGCAATATACCTAACCAGGTCGACCTTCTAGCGGTTCCCCCTGGAAACTATCATGGTTAATTCCTGATGAATCCATCATGATGGGCTAACTGGCCTGTTTTCATTCTCATCTATCACCCTTCACTGGTGCTCCGCCAGTGTATCCCGTTTTCACCCAACAAAAAAAACAACAACAGTTATACATTGGCGATGTTTTTTTTTGACATTTTTTTTTTATTTGTCATTGATACTGCTGTCTATATCTTGACTGTTAAGTTCCATTAGTCGCCTTCCAGCACGTGGACGAAAGAGTGGTCCATTTTATGTCAAGACCCTATAACGGTTCAAATTATTATAATGCATTATTATTGGCTCTCTTGGGATTATATTGACACAACAGATACACACATATATACATACATACACATATATATTATATGTTAACATCTAAACAGTTTTCACTTTTCATTGATTGGGTCGTTAGCTTATTAACCACTAGCTTTTAACCACGACTTTATCCACGTGACCGAAATAGAAAGAAAGAAAGAAATATTTAAGTAAACTTAGATTTAAGCATTTTTGAATAGTTACAGGCCATTTTTTTCATTACCGCTTATTCGGAACGCAATTTTAGCAAAGAAGAACAAGCGAGAAATTCAGCTTTTTTTATTTATTTTTTATACAATTTAGAATGGCTAACGAGCTGACGGCCCACCTGATGGAAAGTGGTAATCGTCGCCTATAGACATGAGCAGTACCATGGACATAACAGACTATACTGTTTCGCCCATGATACCCCTCATGCGTTGCCATTCCTGAGGACTCAGGTGTTATTCCTCTGTACCTACTCTGTAAATTCACGCCATATCCCACCCTACAAACCGAAAGACAACCATGCAAACACAACTTTTTTGTTGCTTTGCAAAAGCTGTTGCTTTTTTCAAAAAGTTCAACTACATAAATAATGAATTTGTGTAAATACAAACTACTAAACAGTATCAGATCGTAACAGATATGTTCATTAACCGGAAAAAAACTGCTCGGTACGGATAAATATAAATTCATTTCCATTTACATCTGCTAGAGTGGTGGAATATTTTTTTTATGCAACTTAGAATGGCAAACAAACTGACGGCCCACCTTATGGAAAGTGGTAACCGTCGCCTATAGACATGAGCAGTAACGTGAACATAACAGAGTATACTCTTTCGATTTGAGCACCTCCTTGTTTTGGAAGTCGGTTAAAAGTATAACTTCGATTCGAAATATTATGACATTCGTTCTTAAAGGTTATTAAAGGACAGTCGTCCTTTAATAACCTTGGTGATACAGCGATTATATCATACTGCCGTCTTGTAGGTCGCAGGTTCGATGTCCGCTTAACATCGTTATTAGTCTAGATGTCTTCGTAAGGAACACTGATACCTAGTCCGAGACTAGAGAGAGGGATTGTTAGTAATGCGAACTACCATTCCCATTGCTAGCAATATACTCGTATCCTGTTAGGTCGAGCTCCACGTGGTCCCCCCTGGAAACCATCGTATTGAGTTCCTGGTGTACTCATCACGATAGGCTACCTGACCTGCCTTTTCATCTCACCTATCATCATTCACTGGTGTCTCACACAGCGTACACCGTTCGCGCAGACGGATTACCACAGCATTGTCATTCTTTAAAAAAAAAGTCCGAGACCTTGACACGTCCTGAAGATTATCGTCACCATCATATCAGCCGTTACCTGTCCACTACTAAACATATGCCTCCCCCATAGAAGCTTAAGCCCCATAGAACTCTGCCATAAGAAACTGCCCTAGGCCACCTGCAACCACTGGATATGATTACATGCAATTCGGAACACATTTTTTCCCTTAGTACTTTTTTTTATTTTTGGTGGATGAAAATGGAATGGTAACCCCGCCTGCGCTAATGGGATACGCTGGCGGAGCACCAGTGAAGGGTGTTCGATGAGAATGAAAACAGGCCAGTCAGTCCATCAGGATGAATTCATCAAAAATTAACCATGATAGTTTCCAGGAGGAACCACGAGGAGGTTGACCTGGTTGGGTATATTGCTAGCAATGGGATTTTTAGTCCCCATTACTAACAATCCCTTTCCTTCCTTCTCTTAGTACTGTAATAATTAATACTTATTTTTTCTCTTAAGGATTATAATATACAAAATAATAACACACTGTATACGGAGACAGTATTAATTAGATAAATGATAAAATATTGATTCGAATATGACAGACGAAACCAGCATAATTTTTAGATAGGTTATTTCAGGGTTCCCTAGAAAAAATGACGCCCTCTATAAATGTGTAGCAAGGAGTCACTGGGCAACGGGTATCGTTTTCTGTATCGTTCCTTGCCAGTCTATGGCAGAAGCCTACATTCCACTGTGGAATAAGAATGATTCATCATTTAAATCGATCGAATTATGTATTTTTTATTTTATTTTTTTATGTAACTTAGAATGGCAAACAAGCTGACGGCTCGCCTGATGGAAAGTGGTATCCGTCGCCTATAGACATGAGCAGTATCATGGACCTAACAGAGTATACTGTTTCACCCATGATACCCCACATGTGTTGCCATTCCTGAGAACTCAGCTGTTATGTTGAACTTAATCTGTACCCTGTAAATTCATTGCCATATCCCACCCTTCAAACCGAAACACAGCTATGCAAACACAACTGCTTCGTGGTAGAAACACGAATAGAGTAGAGGTATCCAAGCAAATGACTTTTGTACATAGTCTCCCTCTAATGTGTTGTGGCAAATATGACAAAGACCATCTGTTCTTCTTTAACCAAAGGGTGTCTGTAAGAGATTGCTGTAGCAAAAAGACCGCCTTGTAAATACCAGTGTACTTACTACTACATATATATATATATATTATCTGTGTTACTACTATGTACTAATGTACCTTTTTGTAAATATTTTAGTCTGTGTTTTATATTACTGTATTTCACTTCAATCTTTTAATTGTTATTGTATAAATTTGTTTTGTCTCTAGTGCAATAAAGAGTTTAAATAAAGGAAGTCTCAAAAATTCTGCTGTTAAATTAGTTTTTAACAATTTACAGTCTATAATATTTAGTGGTCCCGTGGACAGTAAATACTGTCATGCATTTAACCGAAATAATCTATTACTAACTATATAGCTACTATGGCGTGAATTTACAGGGTACAGAGCAATAACATCTGAGTTCTCAGAAATGGCAACGCATGGGGGGTATCATGGGCGAAACAGTATGTGTATGTACTGTTATGTCCATGGTACTGCTCATGTCTATAGACGACGGTTACCACTTTCCATCAGGTGGACCGTCAGCTTGTTTGCAATTCTAAGTCATATAAAAAAAATACTAAAACTTTATTACTTATCGTATTATTTTTGCACCATATATGTTATGCTTTATATACCAACCCTATAAATACTTTATCCTTTCAGGTTCTCAAGGTTGACTGGAAGAAATCCCTTTAAGGTACATTTTACCTATACCTTTACCTCCGCCTGTGTACATTTTTGCTATAACCTAATATCTATAATATAAATGAATGTACAAAAGCATATAAATAAATAAATATATAACAATTTTTTAAATCTTTCTAAGAAACACTGCAGGTATTTTTTTAACTGTACTATACTTTTTATAGATTATTTTAAAAAATACTAATATAATGATCAAAAAATGTTGGCAACCCTATTTACTACCGTGGTGTTACCATTTTAATTATGTAACTATCGATATTGTCCATTTTTTTTTAAAGCAAAACCGTCTCATGCAGAAAATTCGTGATCCAATAGGTCGTAGTCTACGAAAATTGTACCCTAATTTAATTATAATAAATACTGATTTTACTTTATCTAATCGAAAACAATCTCAATAATTAAGTGAAAAGCTTACATTTATATATATTTTTTTTATAATTGCGCAGTTAGATAATCTGTACTCAGATAGTCTTAGTTGTTCCATCAAATATCCTTTAGTTCTTAATCAAGTCTTTAATAAGTTAATCAACATGTTCAGAAATCTTTTTTATTTGTTCTTCTTTTTATCGGCATCTGCTGTATATTGTCAAATACAATGGCGTGAGTATAGTTTACATTCATATATGACTTCTGTGTAAAAATAGAAAGGATTTGATTTATTTTTATTAGTTTTTAAAACTCTAAACTTACTTAACCGATTTTAAAACTTTTTTATGCTACTTAGTATGGCAAACAAGCTGACGGCCCACCTGATTGAAAGTGGTTACCGTCGCCTATAGACATGAGCAGTACCATGGACTGTAAATACATATAACAGAGTGTAATGTTACGCCCATGATATCCCCTATGCGTTGCCATTCCTGAGGACTCAGGTGTTATTCCTCTGTACCCTGTAAATTCACGCTATATCGCCCTTCAAACCGAAACACAGCCATGCAAACACAACTGCTTTACGGTTGGGACGAATGGGACAGAGGTACCCAAGCAATCGATTTTTGTACAAAGTCTCCCTCTGGTTTTTTTAGATAGTCGAAGCAGGTTGATGGATTTTGATAAATACTACAGAAATGTAATCCAGGAGACCGTGTACGAAGTGGAAAAAAGAGGATGGTCCAGCCTTAGGTTTAATGACAATATCACACAAACACTTGGGTATGTATGTATATTTTTATTGTTTTTAATTTGAACAGAAAATCTTGTCAATGAATTTACCAATTATGATTTCTCTATAATCTAAAGATTTCTCTACATTGTATGAAACAAAATCTTCCCTCTGTCTATACGCTTAGATCTTTTAAACTACGCAAAGGATTTTAATGCGATTTTCACCAATAGACAGAGTTTACTGTCCACTATTGAACATAAGCCTCCCCCTAGAGAGGTTTTGTCAGTAGTTGCCACGCTTGGCAAGTGGATCAGCAAACTCAGTGAGGCTTGGAAATGTTTTAAAAGGGACGTTGCTGCCCATCCCTCGCCCTCTCTTAGTCGCCTCTTATAACAGCCACGGGAAAGGAAGGGGTGGTCTATTCTATGCCGGGACCATACGACCATTAGCTCATCAGTTTGTTTGCCATTCCATATTGCATAAAAATGTTGTATAAAGTATGTAATACGAGTATTGGGGAGAAGGGATTGTTAGTAATACGAACCATTGCTAGCAATATACCCTGTCAGGTCGACCTCCACGTAGTCATCCCTGGAAATCATCGTGCTGAATTCAGATGTATTCATCACGATGGACTAACTGACCTGCCTTTTCGTTCTCACCTATAATCTCTCACTGGTGCCTCGCCAGCGTATACCATTAGCGCAGGAGGGGTTACCAGTTCATTATCATCCATTAAAAAAAAATACGTGTATTGTACGCATTTTCCAGTGAGGTGCTTTATGATTGGCATTTCAACGGCTCAGTCACCTACACCAATGGTTTCCTCGTTTCCGTTCAACAACTGCAAGTCACGAATACCCAACAGTTTATAAATAACAGGACCTTGCCTGATAACAGTACCGCCTTGTTTGCGGGTGTTCAGGGCCGCTTCTTCATGAGGGACACCAGAGTAGGGTTTGATGTTTATGTCCAATTATTAAACGAAGATAAACCGCAATGGTATACAGGAATTTACAATCATCAAACTGTAGAATTCTCATTAACTGTAAGTACACATTTGTTCAGAGGGAGACTTTGTGCAAAAGTCGTTGGAAGTCTGATGAAGTTGTAAAATTTTGTTCTTTATTGCAGATACAAAAAAATCTACGTACAAACGAAATGTCAACGTCTTCAACACTACAGTCTCTATCGGCTGGTATAGGAAACCGTATGGTATATATGCCAGCGAATAATGTGACTGAAGCATTATCCAGAGTTGTAAGTCATGTTGAACCTCATTATCATCGTCTTTCTATCCTTATCTCAATTATTTGGAGTCAATGAAATATGTTTTCATGCATATTACACAAGATTTTGACTTGTAGTTTTAAGACCAGCCCCCTACCTGTTGTCAACCCTGCTTAGTGGGGGGAAAGGGATTGTTAGTAATAGAGACTAAGAATCCCATTGCTAGCAATATACCCAACCAGGTCGACCTCCTCGCGGTTCCCCCTGGAAACTATCATGATTAATTCCTGATGAATTCATCATGATGGGCTAACTGGCCTGTATTCATTCTCGACTATCACCCTTCACTGGTGCTCCGCCGGCGTATCCCGTTAGCGCAGGCGGGGTTACCATTCCATTTTCACCCATAAAAAAACCCTGCTTAGTAAGGTTGCTTAGAGCTTGTTAATAATGCAAACTACCAGTCCTAAGGTATATTACTAGAAACAGGTCAGGTCGATCTCCACGTAGTTCCCCCTGTAAACCATCGTGCTAAATTCCTGATTCATCACGATAACGCTAACTGACCTGCCTTTTTATCTCACCAATCATTCCTTACTAGTGTCCTGTACCCTATAGGGTATACCATTAGCGCAGGCGGAGTTACCTCTCCATTGCCATCCAAAAAAAAGTAACCTCTCCTTGGTAATGCATTTATTGGTGGTATAAAAAGTAACAACCGTGCAAACCAACAAAAGTAACAGGATAAAAAGTAGCCTATGCCCATCTTCATCACAAATAAGCTATATCAAACTTCATGATGACTACTTGAGCGGTTGAGGCACTAAGAAGTCACAAACTTATTTTCAAAATTATGAAACAAATATGTAATTTTTTTCCAGGAATGAAATATTTATAGCCAGTGCCACTCGGAATAATGTAAAAATTATAACAAAACCCCACCCATTTAAAGTTGGTCAAACTATGTTTTTTCTTTAATGGATGGTAATGGAATGGTAACCCCGCCTGCGCTGTCGGTATACGCTGGCGGGGCACCGGTGGGGGATGATAGATAAGGATGAAGCAAGTCAATTAGCCCATCGTAAAGAGTCTAACAGTAAATCAATCACTATGGTTTCCAGGAGATGCCACGTGGAGGTCGACCTGACAGACCCCATTACTAACAATCCCTGCTCCCCTCTAGTTATACAATAAAGTAACTCATATAGAATCTTAAAAACGTTAGGTATCCTCCTTTTTGAGACAGTCGTGTGTATTTATTGAGGAAGTAAGTGTAAGGACACAGTGTAAAAATTTGACATTTATTTACAGTATGTCCCGAGTAACAATTGGAATGGCATCCGAGACTGGGGCACTGCAGTGTTTGCACCCATTATGCTGGATATTGCTAAAAATCATATAGCATTCCCGAAGTTTTGTCTTGGTTGTTAAATTTATAGAAATGATTAAATTATATTTTTTTTAAAGCCTTCTTGTTTCTTAATCTTTTCTTCACCTACCTGATAAAATACCTTTATATAACCGAATTTATACGTTTATATAAATGTTTATAAGGTACATAATTAAAATATATATATATAGATTGACTACCTTCCACCCACGACTTCGTCAATGTTACAGGAATCTGTTAATTGGGTGGAATAAAGTAGTTTTTTTTTTTTATACAACTTAGAATGGCAAACAAGCTGACGGCCCACCTGATGGAAAGTGGTAACCGTCGCCTATAGACATGAGCAGTACCATGGACATAACGGAGTATACTGTTTCGCCCATGATACCCCCCATGTGTTGCCATTCCTGAGGACTCAGGTGTTATTCCCCTGTACCCAGTAAATTCACGCCATATCCCACCCTTCAAACCGAAACACAGCCATGCAAACACAACTGCTTCACGGTTGAAACACGAATGGGACAGAGGTACCCAAGCAATCGACTTTTGTACAAAGTCTCCCTCTGGTAGTTTATGTAGTTGTAACTTTTCTCAGTGTATGCCAAATTTTATAAAGATTGATTGAGCCGTCAAAGCGCCTAAGAAGTAACAAATAAACAAAATCACTTACATTTATCATTACTAGTAAAGATGTTAAAAAAAAACCTACACCTACGATACAGGCAAATTACAAACCTGTATGAAGTCTCCTAAAAGTGTAATTAGATATGTATCACATAGATTTATGAATCTACAGTTGCACTAAGATTATTAAAGCGAGAGAAATAAATAATATACATACATATTTATATTAATAATAATAATGAATACTCTGTTTCAATAAAACTTAATGAAACTGTAACAAATTTGTTGATTTTTTACTCAGAAATACTCTGTGTTATATTTTTATAGTCTTTTAATAATAGATGATTTATTTAATTATTGCAGATCCTTTATTCATCACTAAGACGGCCATTATTATACAATACTATTAAACAACCAATCAGTGTCCACTTCTAGTGATGTCCCGTAAACACTAGTGATGGATCTTACAACAACTCTGTATGTAATATTTTACTAATTTAGAAACATTCAATGAATTATAGTAGAATCTCAATTATCCGAACATCGATTTTGCAGATTTATTCTTCACAGCTGTATTATTATTTGGGTAAATAGATATTATATAATCCATTATCTTTATAGATCGTAATGTTTTTCTATCGTATTGTCTAAATGACGTATGTAAAACCCTAAGAACAAAGAATTACATAGGAGTGATAAAATTGTCAATTCATAGCAGGCTAGTGTATAGAAAATTTTATGCGGCCGTATAATCCTACCAAATTCAGATACAACCTGTTTGCATACTTTCTACATAAACTGTGTAAAATATATAATCTAGTAATGTAAAATTTGTTATTATCAAATAATTGACATTTTCTATATGCTATGAGTTGAAAAAAATGACATCTGATGGTTTATCTTTCGTCCTCTTTTTACTAATTATATTTGCATAAGAAGAAAGGAGCCATATGATTTACAATTTTTATTTTATCATTCCTTCTATGTAATTCCTTGTTCTTAGGTAAAACCCGTAACATAATAAAAAAATATTAAAGTTTAATTATGTTTGATTTGACTTTAAAGTCGATTATTTTAATTTTCCATTATACGGAATATCCCTGGTTTTTTAGATTCGGATTATCCAAAATTTACTGTAATCTGTTTTTATTGGACATCAACAGCAAATTGAAATAAACTATAGTTAGTACTATTACTTATTCGGTGTATGTGTGGATCGACTGACATATTTCATCTCCACCTATTATCTTTTATTAAAACGCTAACATCTAATCTATCTAAGGATAATCGGCTAATCAGCTAAACTCATTGTCAACCCATTTATAGAAAAGGACCTACAATTTATATCAACAACAATTAAGCAAATATTTTCTATTAAATTTATAGGCTCTTGTTATTCAAAGAAGCGAAAGAAAGCGATACTATTTTAGCCGTTATGCATACTTAATAAACTAAAGGCTGGACCGTTTATGATTCTAATGTTGCAAGTACTTCATGACAAAGGTGCATGAGAAATGTTAATGTCAAAATGACAACAGGAAAATACTCCATTGTCAAACGTCATATCTATCATACAAAATGTAATTGACAGCATTTCGACGAGAAATCACTCTAATCTGTGGACAAGAACGGACTTTTATTTATATTGTGGCGGTATCGATTCTTCAAAATATTGTTTAAAAAGCAAAAATATATCATACAGTTTGTACATAGTTTCATCATTACGGTGTCTTTTATTTGTATTGAGATTATGTTAATTTCATGGAACAATGTGTGACGAAAGCCCAGAAGAGAGACAAAAAGATGAACTTGTATCATTGGAGGTTTGTGATTATTTATAGTTGAGATCTATTTTGAATATTTATCTATTAAAAATCCATTCGGTAATCTTAACCACGTGTTGATCATGCAATGTGAGGAATTTATTAACTCATAACCTTACACATCTTCACTTTATTTATATTTCACTTCGGCACATTTTAAATTATTTTTAAAAGGGTATTTGTGGATAAAGTTTATGTCGTTTTTAACTGATACCTTCACTTGAACGGTCACTCATAAGAACAGTATATTGTAAAAAATCAATTTTAAAAAATCATAGTACCAACAAAAAAAAAATTAAACAATTGCATCCGGCATAGTTATTTGATTTTATCAGTCTTTATGTACAGATCAGCTCATCTCCATGTGGAACCTTCTAAAAACTATTGTGGTTAATTTCTAGTGTTATTCATCACAACCTAAATATTTAACTTAAGTTTAAACTACCCCCTATAAAATGTACAAAAATAACTAAATTTAAGGAGTATTTAATTTACTATGGGGGAAGTCTCACTTTTTTTATGGGTGAAAATGATATGGTAACCCCGCCTGCGCTAAGGGTATACGCTGGTGGAGCACCAGTGAAGGGTGATCAATGAGAATGAAAACAAGCCAGTTAGCCCATCATGATGAATTCATTAGGAATTAACCATGATAGTTTCCAGGGGGAACCGCGAGGAGGTAGACCTGGTTGGGTATATTGCTAGCAATAGGATTCTCAGTCTCCATTGCTAACAATCCCTTTCCCTCTGGGGAAGTCTCATTGATATTGAACAATGACATTGATTGTAAATCAGATATTGACATATTCAATCAGAAATTTTCATTGTATCAAAGCACTTTACATATATTGATAACCTAATAGTTTATAAGCATAGTTTGGTAGTTTGTATTTGATTCTTATTTTGTATGTAGTTTTTATCATTAATTTTTTTTTTGTAATAAAAAATCAACCTATTCTGTTTCATCTCTTTTTTTATACATCTTAGATTGGCAAACATATATATATAACCGTCGCCTATAGACATGAACAGTACCATGGACATAACAAAATATACTGTTTAACCCATAATGTTATTATTGTGGGTGGGTGGGTGTTATTCCTCTGTACCCTGTAAATTCACATCATATTCCACCCTTCAAACCACGAATGGGACAGAGGTATCCCAATAAACGATTTTTGTACAAAGTAAACCCATATTTTGTACAACGAATGTTGATCTAATCTCTGTAAATGTTGAGTACAACTATAATTGGATTGCAAACTTATAATGCTATTATTGTATTCTATTGTTCATAGATTCTGATTTCTCACCGCACAGTCTGCACAGTGTGTCTGAAGATAGATCCAACTTGTATAGTATATGCCTTACTGGCATATTCCCAGTTAGGGCACCCATAATGACTCTTACCTGTTCTCTGCCACTGCTGTAGATGAGTTTATTCCGTCCCTTAGCATTGTCATTTAAAAACTTTTTAGTATGCCTAAGACCTTTTAAAAACCTCCATTCCTGTTGCTTTTTCTTCCTCACATACTTCTCAAGAACAGAGTTAACAACACATGATGCAAGTGCAACATATGACTCATAATATAATATAATACCTGTGGAATGAGCTCTCTGCCGAGGTTTTCCCAAGAGACTACAGCATGGGATTCTAAATTTGTTTATTATAAAATAAATTTATTGAATTTGTTTTTATTTAACAGTCAATATACCCAAATCTGGTACAAGATCTGCGTGCAAATACAGCATGGAACATATGGAGACCGAATGATTTCCTTCTAAAACTACTCCCGTTGCACAACTCTGATGTTGAAGGCATACATTGTTCGGTTACATTACGATTCACTTGCTGCCACAAATATCCAGATAAGTAAGTTCCAATTTTTCTATTATATTTGTTATCTTGCTAATATAATAAAATCTTGCATTTTTTATGCAACTTAAAATGGCAAACGAGCTGATGGAAAGTGGTAACCGTCGCCTATAGACGTGAGCAGTACCATGGACATAACAGAGTATACTATTTCGCCCATGATACCCCTGTGCCTTGCTATTCCTGAGAACTCAGGTGTTATTCCTCTGTACCCTGTAAATTCACTGCCATATCCATCTTCAAACCGAAACACAGTTATACACACACAACTGCTTCACGGTAGAAACACGAAGGGACAGAGGTGCCCAAGCAAACTACTTTTGTACAAAGTCTCCCTCTGGTCGCATTCTCGCTTATCAGCACAGGTAAGTTTATTATTCCATTTTCATTCATTAAAGACCCACCACTGCTAAATTAATATAACAATTCATTATTACATTTATTAAAAAAATTAATAGAGATGATTAAAAAGTCATAATCAAAATCGGTTCAGCCAGTACGTGAGTGTTCTGATTCTAACATACATATATAGGGGAGAGAAGGGATTGTTAGTAATGGGCATTAGTAGCCCTATTGCTAGCAATATAGCTTGTCAGGTCGACCTCCTCGTGGTTCCCCCTGGAAACCATCGTGATTGATTTATTGTTAGATTCGTCACGGTGGGCTAACTGATCTGCTTCATCCTCACCTATCACCACTCACTGGTGTCCCGCCAGTGTATACCGATAGCGCAGATGGGGTTACCATGCCATTATCATCCATTAAAAAAAACATACATATATAATTTACATGATTTTTTCTTACAGACCTCCTACAATAGTAATTCACGAGCACAAAGGGTTGTCAATTGAAAATGCTTCAAAACTACTTGAAGACTTGAACAATTTAGCAAAACAAAAATGTGGAGAAGTCATGATATTTGAATTGGCTGAACATACACGGGTAAGGATATCTACTACAATATAGGGTGTGGATGGTGCCCTCTAGTGGCAAGAGTTTCCGTAACATTTTCATTATATGATCTCTAATGTGGCTTACCAAGTGTCAATAAATGACCCAAACATACCAAATGTTTTTGCTAGGATTCGATCTTAAGATACTGCAACCATAATCAAGCTTTCTCCAAATGATGTGTATAATTTCTTTTCATATGCATACTGTTTTAACATTGTATTAACTAAAAAAAAAAATTTATGGCACAACAATAATATATACATAAACATCAAAGCCTAACTGTGATTGCCAGGGGGGAAAGGGATTGTTAGTAATGGAGACTGAGAATCTCATTGCTAGCAATATATCCAACCAGGTCGAACTCCTCGCAGTTCTCCCTGGAAACTATCATGGTTAATTCCTGATGAATTCATCATGATGGGCTAACTGGTCTGTTTTCATTCTCATCTATCACCCTTCACTGGTGCTCCGCCAGCGTATCCCGTTAGTGCAGGGATTACCATACCATTTTCACCCATAAAAAAAAAAACTGATTGCCAACTTGCGTGCCAAGCATGGCAACTACTGGCAAAACCTCCCTTAAACAGGAGGTCTATATTCAGCAGTGGGCAGTTAATGGCCAATGTCATCATAAACATCGTTTTTAACATATATTAGATACAATAAACTAGATAGCTGACTAATATTGATGAATCAAATATATATTGTCCCAAAATTTTATTTATTTATTTATTTATTATAACAATGTCATTACAGGTCTTGCTTAATTAAATATATTTTACTCTTAAATAAATTAGGCTTTTTTCCAAAAGCTGTTGACAAAATTTCAAATTTTGTCACAATGGGGAAAAAACACTGCAGCACTTTTATATTTTTATAAAAACCATCGCTACAAAAAATATCTTAAAATTCCTATTATTGATAGGAACTATGAGTAGCAGCGAACTTTAAAAAAACGAGAACAAAAGATCGTGGAAAGGTTGCAGTGTCATAGGGTTTTCTACTTGAAAAAGCCCATCGTTCAGTAATAATAATACTTTCAAATCATAGCTTGTAAGATCTTTGTTTATAATCTGATTTTTTGTACTTTCCAGCAATTCCTTCATGAGCACAACAAGCCTACACTGTCCTTCTACGATGAAATGTTGAAACAGAAAAATGAAAAAGAACAATTAATCAGACAAGAAAAACAGGAAGAGGTTAGTTTAGATTTTTTTTTCCATGATCTTTATTCCTATCCTTTATTCTTGCCCTTCCTTTCCCATGGCTGTCGTAAGAGACGACTAAGGGGAGCAGTGTCCCCTCTTAAAACATCACCAAAGCTTAATTGTGGTTGCCAAACACCCGCCAAGCGTGGTAACCTTAGCAAAACTCCCCTTATGTGGGAAACCGTTAATCATCAGCCAGTCTCATTAACTGTCTACTACTGGACATATCCAACTGCTGGATATGTCCAGCAGTGGACAGTTAACGACTGATGTAATAATAAACAATATTTCCTTAACAATGTAACAAGCTGTGTAAAATCTGTTTAGAACTTAATGAAAATGTGATAAAATTATTTTGAATTATCACAAAAAGATTCAATAAATGAAATTATTAACAGATCAAAACATTCAATCAATTGATAAATTTTTTATTTGTACTACTATTGGATGTCAGCATTGTAATATGAAATGGAATTAAATATAATTAAAGATTATGTCAACACACACACATTCACAAGAAAAAAACAACTTTATTTGTGACAAAACCAGTTATTTTGATCTAAAACTGAATTATTGAACCGATTTTGATAAAAATTCTATGCGATCAATCTGTAAGTATATCCTTTTAAATAAAAAAAATAATCCAAATTGGTTTACAACCAACGGAGATATATAAGCTAAAAGTATAAGAGGAACGGTAATCTGACCTGTTATGAAAAACAAAACCCCAAAGGAGACTTGTAAGATGTAGTTGAAACAATTGAAACTACAAAAATAGTAAATTTCTAAAATTCTTTTTACACACACACGCACACGCGCACGCACACGCACGCGCACACACGCATGCACGCACCTATCCATACACACACCCACCCACGCACACATTGTTAAAGAATGAATAATAATTATATATATCTTTACACAACTGCTTCCTTAATTTTTTCGTAAAATTATAAATATTATTATTTTTCAGCGTAAAAAAATCAAGGACGAAATCCAAAAGAGACACGAAATGTATATTGCAGCGAGGCAACAGAGTGCTGGTCGTAAAAGTGGCAGCGGTCTAGATGCAGACAGCAGTGAAGGTACCAAGGACGCTCCTGAGCTCGTGTTGTAAGTTCCTTTTCAATTCATTACATTATAGTTTTTTAACTAATGAACTGACGAACAACAAGTCAACTTTATACATTCCTAATTTAATAAAATTGTAATTAGGCAATATTTGTATAAAAGTGATATGTAAGAAAAATAATATGAAGGGTCTTAAGAAGATCAATAAATGCAATATTTTTTAGAAAATTTCAGGATTTAGAAATTCTGCATATTTGTTCCGACTTGACGCAAAAATTACTGCATCAGTTGAATGGTATTTTTACAGTTGAAGATCTACCTTTTTTTTTATGCAACTTAGAATGGCAAATAAGCTGACGACCCACCTGATGGAAAGTGGTAACCGTCGCCTATAGACATGAGCAGTACCATGGACATAACAGAGTATACTGTTTCGCTCACGATATTCTCCATGCGTTGCCATTCCTGAGGACTCATGTTATTCCTCTGTACCCTATAAATTCACTGCCATATCACACCCTTCAAAACAAAACACAGCCATGCAAACACAACTGCTTCACGGTAGAAAGATGAATGGGACAGAGGTGGTCAAGCAAACGACTTTTGTACAAAGTCTCCCTCTGGTATATAAATAATGAATTTGTGTTAATACAAAGTACTGAGCAGTATCAATTCATAATATTAATTCTTATAATATTAATTTTAGTTACGCGGACAGTTACATGTCCCCCATCAAGAAGGTGCCACGTGACCGCCCTAAATACGTCAGTTGTACCTGCAACTTGGATAATTTGCATACATTAAAAGTCTCGCAGAGGAAAAATAGCAAAGTGTACATTGGGAAATGCTTAGGTAAGTTTTATTATAAACTAACTTGATATTTAAATTTTTTTTTTATAATACACGGGGCAAATGAGCATGCAGCTCACCTGATGGTAAGTGACCATCACCGCCCATGATCACCCGCAACACCAGAGTCATTGCAGGTGTACTGCCGGGCCTTTAAAAAGGAATATGCTATTTTCTTAAAAGTTATAACGTCGAATCGGTTCGGAAATGCTGCTGCTGGAAGTTGATTTCAAAGAGTGGTTGTACGTGGAAGAAAGTGCATTGAAAAACGAACGAATCATGACCAGGATATGTTAACTAACTAAAAATAATCTATATTTTTTTCCATCCCATACAAAATGTATATACCAAATTTAATAGTGATTGGTTTTTTCTTGTTGGATGAAATGGATTGGTAACCCAGCCCGCGTTAACGGGATACGTTGGCAGAGCACTAGTGAAGGGTGATCGATGAGAATGAAAACAGGCCAGTTAGCCTATCATGATGAATTTATCATGAAGAATCAATCATGATAGTTTCCAGGGAGAACCGCGAGGAGGTCAATCTGGTTGGGTATATTGCTAGCAATAGGATTCTCAGTCTCCATTACTAACAATCCCTTTCCCCCCCAATCGCCCATATTAGCCATCAATATCCGACTACCATTTTGTTCACGCACGTTTAGCGACACGTGTTTCACCTCTAAACGAGGCATCTTCAGACAGATCATTAGATTGACGTTCGGAGCCTACTTTTAACCGTTCAGATGAAGATGGATGTATGATTGCTGATGATCATTCTTAAAGGGATGATTTTATTCCACTTTGTATGCATATTAGGGTCCCATGAAACCATGGGGCTCTTAATATGTTAGAGAAGTCTATGATATATGTGTTTTTATCCAGGTCACTCCTCCAACGGAGCTACAACATACTTGGCTATCGAAGACTCTGGTGAATACCTCATCGCCAGGAAATGGTGCTTACCATCAGCTTCTGACTTCCAAACCCGCACTCGACGAATGGACTTACTCCGCCTAGACTTAAAATCAATGTGCCGTTTACAGCATTCCTCGTTAGTGCCATACGTTGCTATAGAAATAAGTAAAGAAAACAAACGGACAGCAACGCAAACAGTTTACATATTTAGAAATTATATTCTAGGCTATTCCTTGAAGTATTTAATAGAGAAGTGTAAATATAGTGATAAATATGAAGTGTTGAAGCTAGTGAGACATATTGGTGTTGGTATTTTCAGTGCATTGACAGAATTGCATAGTGTTAACTTGTTGCACAGAGACGTTAGGTGCGAGAATGTTTACTTGGACGATTTAGGCGTGGTCAAGTTGGTCGGTGCTAGTTTAGATCTGAGGCTAGCGGAGATGCTCGAAGGCGAAAATTACTGTGATAGGTGAGTGGTTTTTTTTTTTAAATATTTTATAACATACTTTCATGAGTCTAGGATGTTGGTATATTATTTTGATTGACGTAGATTGGAACAGGGACATGACAATTGGATTCCCTGGATTTCTGGTAAATAAGAATCAATAGACTCTGTCTGATGCTGGTGTTTCCCTCGTATCTAAGTAGTTTTTTGTTCGACATTATTTATTATAAAATATATTTTGTATTCCCCTGTTGTCCCGGCATAGAATAAGCCACCCCTTCCTTTCCAGTGGGTGTGGTAAGAGGTAACTAAGGAAGGGCGAAAAATGGGCAGCAGTGTTCCTCTTAAAACATCTTCTAAGCCTAACTGCGGTTGCCAATCCGCCTGCCAATTGTGGAATCCAATTATATTTTTTGTTATTCCTGTCTACAGTCGACTGGTAGATAATGCCATACAGTGTTAAGTCCACCATTTACATTTTCTAGGAATATTAAAATTTAATAAATAATAAGCAATTGCTTATGATACTTTTATAATACAAATTTCTTATTGTATTTTGTATATTAATTCATTTACAACGAAAATAGTTATTTATATAATATGTTATTTGTGTATCGAAAGTAAAATTATAATACTTGATCTAACGTGGCAAAATGGAAGCCTGTGCCCTTCAGTGGATTAATGTGGAGTGGTTAGAGAGATAGTAAGACAGAATCTTACCAATTGTTTTATTGTTTATTTTTCTTATCACCCTTTTGTTACTTTGGCATGTGACATGGTGTAATAGTTAAAAATACCAATAGTACCAAAAGTATCTTTGTGCCAATAAACTAATTGTTAAATTTATTTTATTCTATTGCTTCAGTAATACAAATATATATATATATATATATATATATATATATATATATATATATATATATATATATATATATATATATATATATATTATTATTATAGCTTTTTATCCACTTCTGTGGTCCCCAAGGGTAAAAGCCTCCTCCATCTTTTTCCACTTCTCCTTATCTATAGCAATACCCGTCCAGTTCTTTCCTGCTATCTTTATTATGTCATCTGCCCATCTCTTTCTTTGTCTTCCAACATTTCTTTTATATATATATATATATATATATATATATATATATATATATATATATATATATATTTTATTGTGTGAAAATGGAATGATAACCCCGCCTGCGCTATTGGTATACGCTGGCGGGATACCAGTGAGGGGTGATAGGTGAGAATGAAAAGGCAGGTCAGTTAGCCCATCATGACGAATTCAATAAGAAATTAACCACGATGGTTTCTAGGGGGCAGCGCATGGAGGTCAACCTGATATGGTTTATTGCTAGTAGTGAAGCTGTTAGAATCCATTACTAATAATCCCTTCCCCCCCTATTTTTTTGGATTGCTGTACTATGACTGAGCCCTAATTGAGCGATCTTTATACTTAATTTTTTTTTTTTATTGCAGTCAATCTCAAGCGCAAGATATATACACTGCTGCACAGCTGTTGATATCTTTAATAGCACAAGAAAGGAACTCCCACGAAATACCCCCAGAATTGCCCAGCGCTGCCAAAGATTTCTTCTCAAAGTCAGTATTTTATGTTTTTTCCTTTACATCAATCAAATGTAACATTTTGTAGGCATATTTTATTAAACAGGGTACAGTTATATTGATTCAGTTAAAAGTAAAGAGTATAAAATCCTTTGGGATATATTGTTTTTACAATATCTTTTTATTTTTTTTTTAAATGTAATTAATACAGATAAATAAATATCTTTTCTGAAAGAATTTGGCATCTGAAAGAATGGCAAATATACTAACAATTCATCTAATGGAAAGTGGTAACTATTGCCAATAAATATGAACAGCTTTATGATAGCAATGGTATCCCTTATATATTGCCATTCCTAAAGACTGGTATTATAACTCTATATCCTGTAATTTTCCATACTCTATTCTTCTACCCGAAGAACTAGGTAAGTACAGCTGCTTGCCACCATAAACTTTATACTTTATTTGTACCCAAAATTTATATTGTTATAATTTATATAAAATAAAGATATGATTTATATAAAATATCACTATTGGAACATAGACACTCGAGCAGATTATTGTACTTCACCTTTGATCATTTAGTTGTTTTTATACTGCCACACCATATGTGTGGTCCTGGCATAGAATAGGCCACCGTTTCCTTTCCTGTAGGCGTCGTAAAAGGCGACAGAGGGAACTTAATGAATGGTTTATTTTCTCTTCACAAAAGGTAGAATAAAGTGACATCTTGAGGTACAATTAATGAAGACCAATTTTGTGAGAGACTGGTGCTTAGAGACTTAATGGTAGAGGGAAGCGCAGCAGCGTCCCTCGAAAAGCCTAACTGCGGTTATCAACTCGTCTGCCAAATGTGGCAACTACTGGCAAAATTCCCCCTATGGGGGAGGCTTATGTTCAGCAGTGGACAGTTAATGACTGGAGTGATGCTACCATGGTTACATACATACAGTCCACCTGATGGTAAACAATTATCATAATCTACATAATAATAATAAGTAAACTTGGTGTTTCACGTGTGTGTTTTTTTTTTGATGGGTGAAAATGGCATGGTAACCCCGCCTGCGCTAACGGGATACGCTGGCGGAGCACCAGTGAAGGGTGATAGATGAGAATGAAAACAGGCCAGTTAGCCCATCATGACGAATTCATCAGGAATTAACGAAGATAGTTTCCAGGAACCGCGAGGAGCTCGACCTGGTTGGGTATATTGCTAATAATGGGATTCTCAGTCTCCATTACTAACAATCCCTTTTCCCCCATCATGTGTGTGTTGCCGAGCCAAAGTTTAATGTAGGCGTCGACTACTCTATTATTAAAAAAAAAACTACCTAATTATTATTCTTGTCATTTTCCAAATATTCTTTTTATTTTACTGCAGCCAGGAAACTCACTCTCTTTCACCCTCAGATGTTTAACAGAAGATGAGTATTCTCAGTGGTCTGCTGAGAAACTAGTCAGCCATGGGTTCCTGGTCGACGTTCCCGCCAAGCAGCCGAGCAATAAGCAGCCTGGCGATGGTGGTAGCGGATCCGATGTAATAATTTTCAGTAGTGTCATTTAAGTAGATTTAGTAGTAAGAAAGTATATGTTCTTAGATTATAAAGTATATAGTTTGGTAATGTAAAAGAGAGAACATATAATAACTCTTATATGTTAGAGCGAGACAGACAATAGGACAATATATGCTAGAAAATAATTTGCACAATATATGCTCGAAGCTGATTTGGCAGGAGTATGAACAAAATTATGTCTCATTATTTTTACATTCACAATTGAATGTAATTTTTAGAATTTTTTTTTATTATTATTTTTAGAATGGTTGGAAGAAAAAAATATCAAATTTAATCCAAATTAAGTTCCTATTGGCCTCGAATCGAAATTAAAATTATAACGAATATGTCAAGTATATACATTTACAGAACACGCATATTAGAGTAATCATTTTCTTGCCTCGTTTTTGTTATTGTCCAGTCTGTCAATACTACGTCTATGGATTTATTTGTCACTGTGTAATGAAGTGAGAATATGAAGAATAGTTCTCCTGTGACCACTCCGCAATGCGAACGAAGCTTCTTAAAGACATATCTGAGAGTACATGTGCAACTTTTAGAACAGTCCAGAATATTCCTATTAACATTATAAATGCGAAACTTTGTATGGATCGATGAATTTTTGTTACTCTTTCCTGCTAAAATAACTGAATGTATTTGAATGAGATTTGCATAACATAACTTTAAATTTTAATAACGTAGCACAGTGGATACTTTAGATAGATAAATAGATAGATAGATACTCTTTATTGTTTCCTCCAAAAGATTACAATAGTAAACTTATTATAGATACAAACAATTACAAGAAATAATCACAATGAAAAAATAATGGGCGACCTTATCGCTAAAAGCGATCTCTTCCAGGCAACCTTTGGACGGAGAGGAGTATTTATAAACAGTTTGATCGGAGGCACGATGAAAATTCATTTATTTCTAAATATGAAGATGTTTTACATGTAATAATGTAAATATACATGTACTTTATGTACTAATTTAAGCGGCCGGAGCCGCGAGATACAGCTGATCTAAAATACAACTAGGCCGTAATCTTGTTTGCCAATTCATATTGTATTAAAAATGTGTTGTAGGACGATGAAGAGGTTATAAAAATACGCAGCATAATCCCGACCACGAGTGGCCACTCTCGCCTCACAGACGAGTTCGAAGAGCTTGCATGGCTCGGCCAGGGTGCTTTTGGCGATGTCCTGAAGGTAAACATGTACTATTTAATTATTAAATTGTTGTTCTTTTAAAATAATCCATAAGAAAATCTTATAGGTAAGTTTTTTTTTTATACAATTTAGAATGGCAAACAAGCTGAGAAGCTGACGGCCCACCTGATGGAAAGTGGTAACCGTCGCCTATAGACATGAGCAGTACCATGGACATAACAGAGTATACTGTTTCGCTCATGATACCCCTCATGCGTTGCTATTCCTGAGGACTCCCGTGTTATTCCTCTGTACTCAGTAAATTCACGCCATATCCCACCCTTCAACCGAAACACAGTCGTATAAACACAACTGCATCACGGTAGAAACACGAATGGGACAGAGGTACCCAAGCAATCGACTTTTGTACAAAGTCTCCCTCTAGTTATCTACATAGTTACTTTTATCTGACTAATTCCATAAAAGGTCTTGACCCCATTGGTTGGTTGAATAAATGTGCGAGTGCGTACGTACGTGCGTGCGTGCGTGTATGTCTGCGTGCGTTTGTACTTGGTTCATTGGTCGAAAAATGGGCAGCAGCATCCCTTTTTAAACGTCAAACCCTAACTGCGGTTGTGAACCCGCCTGCCATGCGTAGCAATTACTGGTAAACTCCCACCCTACCCTTTGGGGGGGGAGGGGACGGCTATGCAGCATTGGATAGTTAATAAGATAGATGATTGAACTCAGACTTAATACATTCAAATATCTTTTCCATTTATAATATTTTGAGATTAATTTCAAAAACTGCTTATTTGATTAGTAGAATAAAATATATTAAAATAATAAATTCTACCTAATAACATTTCTAGGATTGATTATTTGTCGTCAATCGCCGACCGTTATTCAGTCTACGCACATCTTGCAATATCTGCGTACTAATGGTAGTGGAATTTAACAAATTAATTCAAATCAACTAACCAATGACATGAATTTCAGCGAAATAATACCTGAATTAGTAAAAAAATATACATTTTTTATTTTCAGGTGAAAAATAAACTCGACGGCGGATTCTATGCGTTGAAACGCGTCAAATTGAACCCCGAAAACGTTCAACTGAACAGGAAGATCACGCGGGAGGTGAAACTGCTGTCTCGGTTGAACCACGAGAACGTGGTTCGTTATTACAACGCCTGGATAGAGTCGATCACCGACGTGGATGATGATGATGATGACTCGTCCAGTTGTAGCGTTGCTAAAACACCAACAAGGTATAATAAAAGGGCCTACCATGAAATGTTTTCCGAAATTTCAGAGTCGAACGTAACACAAATTTGTTCTTAAAATTACATAATACTTACTGTTTAAAAACGTTAAAAAGATTTTTTTTTTTGGACTTTTATGGTAGGATTTGTGACGAACGAAATGTTAACCTCCATTTACTGGGCTAATTTATGTATGAACAAAAACACAAAATTGAATCCGAAACTTCAGAATTTCATTTCATGGTAGGCCCTCACGCTGTCAAAATTTAATAATTCTTTGTGTCAAAGGAAATGACCCTGTATATTTATTTGTAAAGGACAGTTTTAGTTTTTGTATGTAAAAAACTTGTATTTATCTTTTTCTCACCCCTCTCTCGCTCTCTCTCTTATCTCCCTTTCTCTCTCTTTCTCCCTCTCCCTCTTTCACCCTCTCTCCCTCTTTCACCCTCTCTCCCTCTTTCTCCCTCTCTCTCTTCCTCTATCTCTCCCTCTCTCTCTCTCCGTCTCTCTCCCTCTCCCTCTCTCCGTCTCTCTCCCTCTCCCTCTCTCCGTCCCTCTCCCTCTCTCCGTCTCTCTCCCTCTCCCTCTCCGTCTCCCTCTCTCCGTCTCTCTCCCTCTCTCTACCTCTCTCTCCATCTCCCTCTCTCTCTCCCCCTCTTTCTCTCTTCCTCTTTCTCTCTTCTCTCTCTCTCTTCCTCTCTCCCTCTCTTCCTCTCTCCATCTCTCTTCCTCTCTCCATCTCTCTCTTCCTCTCCCCCTCCCTTCCTCTCCCCCCTCTCTTCCTCTCTTCCTCCTCTCTCTTCCTCTCTTCCTCCTCTCTCTTCCTCTCTCTTCCCCTCTCTCTTCCTCTCTGCCTCTCTCTCTCTTTCTCTCTCTTCCTCTCTCTTCATCTCTCTTCATCTCTCTTCCTCTCTCTTCATCTCTCTTCCTCTCTCTCTCTCTCTTCCTCTCTCTCTTCCTCTCTCTTCCTCTCTTCCGCTCTCTCTTCCTCTCTCTCTCCCTCTCTCTCTCCCTCTCTCTCTCCCTCTCTCTCTCCCTCTCTCCCTCTCTCCCCCCCCTCTCAATCTCTCTCTCTCTCTTCTGCTTTTATTAAAGGATTAAAGATCTATTTTTGTCACTCATGGTTACATTTTTAATCGCCTTAAATCAGATCCCCATGTTTGGCTATGTATCTAAGCTATATCTCGTGAATCAATACATAAAGTATTTTATGTGCTAAGTTCTAAGTTCAGTGGTTTTGGCGGAAATAGTAACAAACATCCATCCAACTATCTATCGTTACAAACTTTCGCATATATAATATTAATAGGATGTTGTTATTTGTTCTAAGGAAGAAACCTGGTGCTAGTCTCGAGGGTGTCGTCGCTAAATTAGGCCAGGAGGTCAAATTAGAATGGTCCATGTGCGAAGGGACCGGACCCAAACGGAACTCCACGTCCGACAGTGAAGAGGACGTGGATGATGATGAAGCGCTACCACTGTTTAAAATGAGGTAAAACTCTCTTTGTCTAATGATAAAGTAAGTATATGTTATCACTCCTGTTTATCCCCAGGATGTAAGAGGCAATTAAAGAATAACTAAAAGATATTACGATATTCCGCGGTTTAAAATATCTGTAGTCTCTAGTAGTAGGAACGGCTCTGAATAAGCCATTCTTAGTAGACTCATACGCATACTTGCCAACGAATCACAGTAGCACATTAGGTGTTTTATGAATACCTATTCCTCACTGCACAATCTGCACAGTGTGTCTGTAGATAAGTCCATCTCGTGTAGTGTGTGCCAGGGATGACCAACCTTTTTTTTTATCGTGGGGGAAATGCATCGTGCAGGTCCATACGCCCCGAGGGAGAAATATGGCTACTGCCAGACTCCTACCGGCTAAAACCCACCACGGCATCCCTAGAGATGGCCAACTGAATGGCTAATATAGCGAAAGATGCTCAGACGCAATGCTCACACTAAAATAAATAAGTAGTTACTAAGAATAATTTTCGATTTTATATTTTCTCTCTTAATAAAATAAAAAATGCTACAATTCTACATTATGTTGTGTACTGAATTATGTTGTGTCATTTGAGATTTCAAGAAGTATGTAATTGGTAAATCGCATACGGTTTCGTCAGTGAACAGTAGATCGTGCGTCCTGTCAACTCGGTCATCCGACATATGCCTTACTGGCATATGTTCAGTTATGGCACCCATTATAAGTCGTGCTTGTGGCCTGCCTCCACTGTAGATCGTATTTATAAACTATACTTTATTTCCCTAGCCTCTTTCTAATCTCAACCTCTGGCCCCTCAACGTTTAGAAATCCTCGGAACGGTGAGGTCGTTCCGTGAGGCCTTTGAAGATCCCAGGAACTTTTTCTGCTTCTGGGCGGAGCTGGGCTGGCTGTTCTAACCATGATTCATAAGCACAATGGTCCAGCAAAGGTCCAGGTCTTAGCGCAGCAAATAGAGTCCATCTTATATTTACTCTCTATCCTTAATACGTTTTAGCCCTGAAGACGATTCCAGCTGTAGCATAGAATTCGCCGGCGATTCAGACAACAAATCGCAGACCATAGCTTCGGATGCCGTACCTGACACCCCGAAACCGCAGTCCGTACGTTTGAACCAGGTGCTCTATATACAAATGGAGTTCTGCGAGAAACACACACTTCGCCAAGCCATAGACAACTGTTTGTACCAAGAGCACACAAGAGCATGGAGGTTGTTTAGAGAAATAGTGGAAGGGTTAGCTCATGTACACCAAAGAGGCATGATACACAGAGATTTGAAGCCAGTCAATATTTTTTTGGACTCGAATGACCATGTTAAGATTGGAGATTTTGGCCTAGCAACTAAAGCGCTCACAGGGTTGCCAGTTGATGGTAAGTAAAAATTTGTACGTCCTCGAATTTACATCGTGATAAATCTCTATTACTTTTTTTTTAATATTACAATTAGTTTATTGATTTTTTTTTTATTTGAATAAGAGTTTTGTTTCAACCTTTTCCAAAAAGAAGAAGGAAGTCCTCAATTCGGTTATGTTTTTTTTTCTGTCTGTTATTTCCGTAATTCATAAACCGATTTAGACTTTTTTTTTATTTGGAAGTATGTTTTTTCAGATTGTACCCATAGAAATTTTATCAAAATCAATTTAGTAGTTCACTTTTTAAAAGAAAATAATTGTTTCTTTTTTTTTTTTGCGAAACCTAGTCTTAAATAATGTAATGTGAACTTATTAGTCACTTTATTTAATAGAGGAGAACTCTAAAGTTCAACATTGATTTATTTTACAGAAAAAGCGAAACAAGAAGAAATACAAGGTTCCTTGACTGGACAAGTATGTTTCTCTATGATTTTTATAGATTAAAATAATTTTCTTTTTTTTTTTTTTTGTTTATTTAAATATTATTGTATATAAATTAAAACGTCAAATAAATTAGTGACCTAGTCCTTACACTAGGAGTACATTTGTCTTGAAAGACTAGTTACTAACTTCTAAGAGAAAAATCTTTTTTTTTTATGCAAGTTAGAATGGCAAAAGAGCTGACAGCCCACCTGATGGAAAGTGGTAACCGTCGCCTATAGACATGAGCTACTGCTCATGTCTATAACAGTCCATGGACATAACAGAGTATACTGTTTCGCCCATGATACGATAAGGTGTTATTCCTTAATTCTGTACGCTGTAAATTCACTGCCATATCCCACTCTTCAAACCGAAATACAGTCATGCAAACACAACTGCTTCACGGTAGAAACACGAATAGGACAGAGTTGACCAAGCAAACGACTTTAGTACAAAGTCTCTCTCTGGTCTCTGATATTTATTTTAATAAAGATTATTTCTATTCCATTCAAACTAATGATGTAAAACAGTATACCTATATAAAATAGAACAAGTTTTGCTTTCTTTGATCTGTATACTTCCATCATTATAATATGTGTCTGTCTTATGTACCTAATTAGGTAAAACTAAATTTCTAAAACACTGATTCATTCACCAGGTCGGCACAGCTCTCTACTTAGCTCCAGAGCTCCTGCAGTCCACAGGAAAGGTTATATACAACCAGAAAGTCGACATATACTCCCTCGGGATCATCCTATTTGAGATGTTTCATCCCCCACTGAGCACTGGGATGGAAAGGGTGAAAGTGCTCAACAATCTCAGAACCAAAGACATATTGATGCCAAGTGATTTTATAACGGAGGAAAATGCAAAGCAAATATATGTTATTCAGTAAGTTATAAACTAGCTCTTTCTTTTCGCTCTTAGTTTATAATTTGTGAATTTTTTTTTATACCACTGAGGTGGCAAGCAAGCATACGGCCCACCTGATGGTAAGCGGTTACCGTAGCCTATGAACGCCTGCAATACCAGAGGTATTACGCGCGCGTTGCCGACCTTGAAGAAACCTCTTTACCCCCCTTTTGAAGAACCCCATGCTCGGCAGGGAGCTCATTCCATAACCTGAGTGTTCGTAGGAGAAAGCATCTCTGAAACCGCGTTGTACGCGACCATTTAGGCTGTAAGGTATGAGGGTGAACTCCCTGTCGATGACGAGCCGTACGATGATAGAAAGTGGCCGTAGGCATCATATTGAATAATTCCTCTGAGCACAATCCGTTGTATAAGCGGTAGAACACGCAGAGTGAGGCAAAATCTCTCCTAAGTCTTAAGGGTTCGATACCGCTTGCAAGCATGGGATCATCGACAATTCTCATAGCTCGTCGTTGCACTGAGTCGAAGGGTTCAAGCTGGTATCTAGGTGCTCCCGCCCATAAGTGACAGCAATACTCCATATGGGGCCGGATTTGCGATTTGTAAAGCATTAATCGCTGATCCGGCGTGAAGTAATGCTTCGCTCTATTGAGCACACTGAGTTTTTTGGATGCCAGCTTCACCTTATCTTCGAGGTAGCCACGGAACTGTACGTCACTAGAGATGTCGACACCAAGGATCCCAATGCTTTTAGAGAACTGTTGAAATATTCCATACAAGCTGATGCTCGCGACTTTGTCCGTATGGTATCCGGCCATCTGAATTAATTGTTTCAGCTTTTGCCTACCTGATGGTAAGTGGTTACCGCCTATGAACACCTGCAATACCAGAGGTATAAGGCGCATATTGCCGACCCTAAAGAAATGTCTTTACCCCCCTTTTGAAGAAACCCATGCTGTAGTCTCTTAAGAAAATCTCGGTAGGGAGTTCATTCCATAATCTAAGTGTTCGTGGAAGAAAACATCTCTGAAACTGCGCTGTACGCGACCATTTAGCTGTAGGATATAAGGATGAACTCCCTGTCGATGGCGAGTCGTACGATGGTAGAAAGTGGTCGTGGGCATCATATTGAACAATTCCTCTGAACACAATCCATTGTACAAGCGGTGGAACACGCAGAGTGAGGCAAAATCTTTCCTAAGACTTAAGGGTTCGATACCGCTTGCAAGCCTGGGATCATCGACGATTCTCATAGCTCGTCGTTGCACCGAATCGAAGGGTTCAAGCTGGTATTTAGGTGCTCCCGCCCATAAGTGACAGCAATACTCCATATGGGGCCGGATTTGCGATTTGTGGAGCATTAAATGCTGATCCGGCTTGAAGTAATGCTTCGCTCTATTAAGCACACCGAATTTTTGGATGCCAGCTTCAGCTTATTTATTTATTTATTTATTGGAAAACCAACAGCTTACAATTTATAGCTTAAAACAATAACAAATTATCCATATAAAAAGCCAATAACAGGTTTTCACTGACTTAGCGATATAAATTTGTCGTGGCTAGAGTAATTATAAAATTTAGAAGGAAATAAAAATAAAAAATTACACTATAGTATATCATAACAATAGTTACTAGATTGTGTGTGTGTGTGTGTGTGTGTGTGTGTGTGTGTGTGTGTGTGTGTGTGTGTGTGTGCGTGCGTGCGTGCGTGCGTGCGTGCGTGCGTGCGTGCGTGCGTGCGTGCGTGCGTGCGTGCGTGCGTGCGTGCGTGTGTGTGAGCTCTTTAAATGGGTATGTGTATATATATGTTTCAATGGAATTGACAAAATAAAATTAGAGGTTTTGAAGAAATATTTCAGAAAGTTTTTTTTTATAAGTTTGTTTTGAAGAGTATGTAAAGAGATCCACTTCTTTAAAAAACTTATTATAAATTGACATTATACATGCAAATATAGAGTTTCTACCATAATTTGTATTAAAAAAGGGTATTGAAAATAACGGTGTTCCACGCACACGACGGCGAGGAACATAGAATGTGATGGAGTTAAGGATGCGTGGACTATCAATATTCCCTCTGACAATATCATACAGAAATGAGGCATCCAACAGTTTGCGACGTTGGTCCAAAGTGAGAAATTTATAATATTTGCAGCCTTCTTCATAGGTCGGAAATCTATTCTTCCGCTTAAAGTTAAGGTATTTAACGAAACGAGATTGCACCTGTTCTATTCGATCCTTATAGATTTGGTAATGAGGTGACCATATACAACTTGAATATTCCAAAATGCTACGTACATAAGCAAAATATATAGATTTCAAACACTGTATGTTATCAAAATGTTCACAAACACGTTTTATAAAACCTAAGTGTTTGAATGCTTTAGTCACAACAATATTCACATGTTTGTCCATTAAGAATTTGTCATCAAAATATACACCGAGATCACGTACAAGATTGACACGATGGACAGGGACATTATCTATGGTATAATGAAATACAATAGGAGTCCTACGTCTAGTGAAACTAATAACTTGACATTTGTTATGGCTTATAGTTATTTTATTTCTTTTATAGAAATTACTTAGCGAAATCAGGTCATTTTGCAATTTATAACAATCCGAAGTATTTTTTATGACACGGTAAATTTTTTTATCATCGGCATATAATAAATGTTCAGAATTATTAACACATGTGTAAATATCGTAAAGATAGGCATTGTAAAATAAGGGTCCCAGATGTGATCCCTGAGGAACGCCAGAAGGGACATCAACAAAATCCGATCTAAAACCTCCTAATACAACTGCTTGAGATCTATTAGAGAGATAGGAAATTATCCAACGAAGAAGATCACCGTGTATACCCAACTTATTCAATTTTTGTATAAGTATACCATGGTGTACGCGATCAAACGCCTTCTCAAAGTCAGTGTATACCACATCCACTTGTCCCCCGCTTTCCATATTTTTCAAAACGTAGGATGAGAAAATAGCTAAGTTGGTTGTGGTAGATCTAAACCTAAGAAAACCATGTTGATTATCAGTGATGTTGTGACTTACTGTGGGATAGATTACAGTATACACAATTTTTATCTTCGAGATGGTCACGGAACTGTTCATCACTAAAGATATCGACACCAAGGATCCCAATACTTTTAGAGATGTTAAGAGACGTGCCCTGGAACTGTAGAGCCACAGCAAATGTTTTTTTTTTATAAATACCACTAATAGTCTGAGATGGTTTCCAGATATCAGTCAAATAGTCTATTGTGACAAACACGTGTGTGTGACGTGTGTATGTTTTTTTTATACAACTTAGAATGGCAAACAAGCTGACGGTCCATTTGATGGAAAGTGGTAACCGTCGCCTATAGACACGAGCAGTACCATGGACATAACAGAGTATACTGTTTCGCCCATGATACTCCCTATGCGTTGCCATTCCCGAGGACTCGGGTGTTATTCTTCTGTACCCTGTAAATTTACGTCATATCCCTTCAAACCGAAACGCAGCCATACAAACGCAACTGTTATACGGATTTTTTTTTTTGTATGGGTGAAAATGGTATGTTAACCCCGCCTGCGCTAACGGGATACGTTGGCGGGGCACCAGTGAGGGGTGATAGATGAGAATGAAAACAGGCCAGTTAGCCCATCATGATGAATTTAACAGGAATTAACCATGATAGTTTCCAGGGGGAACCGCGAGGAAGGCGACCTGGTTGGGTATATTACTAGCAATGGGATTCTCAGTCTCCATTACTAACAATCCCTCCCCCCCCCCACTGCATTACGGTTGAAACACGAATGGGACGTGCGCAGGTGGCTGCTGCGGCACGACCCGCGCGAGCGGCCCACGTGCGCGGAGCTGCTGGGCAGCGGGCGCGTGCCGCGCGAGGTGGCCGAGGGCGCGCTGGCCGGGCTGCTGGCGCTGGCGCACTGCGGCCGCCGCCGCCCCTACCAGCGGCTCGTGGCCGCCTGCCTGGCGCCGCGGCCCTCGCCCGCCGAGGACTACACCTACCACAACGACATGCGCGCGCGGCCCGACCGCCAGCTCGCCACGCTCGCCCGCACTCTCGTCAAGGTAAGTCGTCTCTTTTTTTGATGGGTACGCTGGCGGAGCACCAGTGAAGGGTGGTATGGTAGCCCCGCCTGTGTTAACAGGATAAGCTGGCGAAGCACCAGTGAAGGGTGATAGATAAGAATGAAAACAAGCCAGTTAGCCCATCATGATGAATTCATCAGGAATTAACCATGTTAATTTCCAGGGAGAACCGCGAGGAGGTCAACCTGGCTGGCTATATTGCTAGCAATGGGATTCTTAGTCTCCATTACTAACAACCCCCCCACCAAGGTAGTTACCTATGTAATAAAATCAACGCTCAATTGTCAATCTACCGACCGAAATAGGTACACTTGTAAAAAGTTCATATCCAATTGGTTGAAAATACTCGACTATGATGCTACAGAGTCTTTACTTATCCCACAGATGTGAGAAAATAACTTAAAAACCTAAAATTGTATATGAATGCGTACATGACAATGACACACAGCGAGAGACACGCATGCACCTACAGATACACGCATATACACACGCGCACACACACACATAACTCCCAGATTAAATTATAAGAAATTGTCTCTTCCTATAAGTTATATTAATTACATTGAATTCGCTTATTATATTACTAGCGACCCGCCCCGGCTTCGCAAGGGTGCGATGCTGCACCGCTATGTCCCTGAATTTGAAATCTGTAATATCTTCGAAAATATTCATTTAAATTATATGCTGTAAAAAGGGCCATATTGATCTATATTAAATGGACAATGTATTTAAGGTACTTGGGTGGTTAATGGGTTATCTTTAAGAGATAGACATTTACCATCGCGGACTTTTTTGTTGACCTTTTTAAGGTGTATAATACTGTAGTACATTATTTTGATTTATCTCGTGGGGTTCAGCTAGCGTTTGCAATGTAAAGTTAAATTTTAAAGATTTAAGCATTATGTATGCTGCACAGACAACGACAGCGACTTTGTTTTATACTATATAATGATGATAAGTACTTATCAAGTAATCCTGCAGAGTGAGGCCCTGGTGACCTGTAATACAGGTATTCTTATACCTATCTCACCAGTCTTTCACAATTATATTTATAATTTGATTACCTTAATATAAGCATGTCTCATTATATTCCACTGTTATGAATTGTGAAGAGAAAATAAATATCTTTAAGGAACCACTGACGAATGATACGTGACAATGAATAGGCAGCTCAGTTAGCCTAACTTTAAAGGATATTCCATGGTCATGTGGAGGTTGGTCTGACAGGGGTATATTGCTAGCAATAGTACTAATAATTTAAATAACTTAGAATAGCAAACAAGCTAACGGCCCACCTGATGTAAAGTGGTAACCGTCGCCTATAGACATGAGCAGTACCATGGACATAACAGAGTTTACTGTTTCGCCCATGATACCCCCCATGCGTTGCCATTCCTGAGGACTGAGGTGTTATTCCTCTGTACCCAGTAAATTCACGCCATATCCCACCCTTCAAACCGAAACACAGTCATGCAAACACAACTGCTTCATGGTTGAAACACGAATGGGACAGAGGTATCTAAGCAATCGACTTTTGTACAAAGTCTCCCTCTGGTAAGAAGTTTAAGTAAGTAAGAATTTAAGTAAGTAAAAGTAAGTAAAGTAATTTATGTAATTAATTTTTTTAATATTATTATGACTAGCTATATTATTTTAGTAATTGTGTAAAGATGCATTTATAGGATGTCAAGGTGAGGATCGCTAACACAGTATAAATTGCTGTAATAGCGACCTTCAACTTTGGACCATATTACTTGCTTACAGCTAGAGTTGAGTCACTTTGACCTACTAAAAAATGTTCTATTAAAACGCTATATCAATATGTTACAGGTGTTCCAGAGTCACGGTGCGGTAGAGTTCACACCACCTCTGCTCACGCCGAAAGCCAAGAGTTGGGAACAACACCCCAAAGCAGTCACTGTGATGACCGCTAGCGGTACCGTCTGCCATTTACCCCACGATCTAAGGCTTCCATTCGCGAGGTTTTTGTTGTGTTTTATTTTGATTTTATATATATTTAATTCTATTGTGTCTATGGTACCTTAATTGTACGAATAAGCTGCTCAGTTTTGGCCTAAATGCTACCAAAATTGCTTTAACATTACGAAAACTGTCGTGTTTGATTTTCTACAATCTGTTATTTTTCTGATTATTTGATTATTTTTATTAGATTGACTACAAAAGTTCAACAATCTTCCCATCAATCACCGATTGCTTTTTCGTCCATGCACGTTTTGTGATACGTGTTTCACCTCTAAACGAGGCGTCTTCAGACAATAAATCGCTGCTCGGAGCCTAATGTTGGCAGTCACAGACATACTTTTAGTAGCGGAACTAAACAAAACAATTATAATCAAATAACCAGTGATATGGGATTCCACAAAGTAATACCTAGTTTAGTAACATCATTTTTTTTTTATTTTCTTCAAACCGGCTTTTATTTTGAAATAATAATTATGTTTCAAATTAAAAAGAGGATTCACTATTAATGGCGCTATTGTCATAAAAAAAAATTTTTGAATGGAGAACAGGCGTGTTTAAAATTCTATTTTCAATATTTCTTTTTTTTTTTTTGCGAATGGCATGGCAAACTGATGGCCAACTTGATGGAAAGTAAATCGTTAACCATCGTCTTTAAATATGGGTATCACAAAATGCATTGAGATCCCCATGGTAACCTTCATGCTATATGAAAAGAGCATATTCCTTTTTAAAAGGCCGGCAGCACACCTGCAATGCCGTAGGTGTTGTGGGTGACCATGGGCGGCGGTAGTCACTTACCATCAGGTGAGCCGCATGCTCGTTTGCCCCCTGTGTTGTAAAAAAAATGTCATTCCTAAGTTATACTTCCGTACTCTGTAATTTTACTGTCATATTCAACTTCAAACCAAAATACATTCATGCAAGTACAGTTGCTTCACGGTAACATAAGTGAATCAAAATCCAAGGTTCATATACAGTTTTCTAGTTTCAGCCATTTGAAATATTAATTTGGACAATTTACAGGCACACCGCATATTCTGGCACGAAATATATGAGACGTTATGTCGTGGACAAGATATATAGAGAGAAACACGTGCCGGGGTTCCATCCACGGGAAATTGTTGAATGCGCATTCGATATCGTCAGCCCTCAGAGCGGTATGCTATCAGTTTTTGACAGTCTATTATGGTTAACTAATAAATTGACCACTGCTAAACACATGCCTTCCCCATAAGGGGAGATTTGCCAGTAATTACCACCCTTGGCAGATGGTAACCTCGCGTGTGCTAATGGTACACGCTGGCGAGGCGCCAGTGAGGGATGATAGGTGAGAATGAAAAGGCAGGTCAGTCTACCGTGATGAATACACCTGGAATTCAGCACAGTAATTTTCCAGGAGGGATCATGTGAAAGTCGATCTTGCTAGCAATAAAACTAGTACTCCGCTACTAACAATTCTTTCCCCTCTAGCAACTGCAGCTACGCTCTTAGAGATGTTTTAAGAGGGACGCTACTGCCCATTTCTCGACCATGAATCCCTTAGTCGCCTTTACGACACCAATGGGAAAGAAAAGGGTGGCTTATTCTATGCCGGGACCACCCGGCGATGTTTAACTATACTAATTTATTTTTACAACCTCAATTCACCCGCATATATAGTCATAATGCATGAGAGAGATAGCTATCGTTTGATTTTTGATGTGCGACTAATTGGAGATATTTAAAAATAAAAGTGTAAGCAAAGCAAGACAAAAAATCTCTGATCTTGTTCACACTTTTATTATAATGGTGTTGTTTGTTACTACCGCTGACACAGTTCTTAATCTATGATTCTTGCCAATTCCTTATTCAAATAATCTATACATTGTTCTAGATTCTCTATGGCCAGACGCGGAACTCCTTGTTGTGGCGAGTAGGGCTGCCTCCGCGTGTAATCTAAAAGTGACGTTACAACTAAACCACGCAGTGCTTCTGCAAACCGTACTTCTCTCTTGTGGGGTACCGCTAGACAAGCATGCAGACATATATCCAGTTCTTGTACAAGTTGGATTGGGTGAGTTAAGAGCATATAAAAGCTCAGAGTTAAGAGCATGTAGAAGCTCAAAGTTAAGTTTACCAGAGGGAGATTTTATACAAAAGTCATTTGCTTGGGTACCTCTGTCCCATTCATCTTTCAACCGTAAAACAGTTGTGTTTGCATTGCTGTGTTTCGGTTTTAAGGGTGGGATATGGCGTGAATTTACAGGGTACAGAGGAATAACACCTGAGTCCTTAGGAATGGCAACGCATGGGGAGTATCATGAGCAAAACAGTATACTCTGTTATGTCCATAGTACTGCTCATGTCTATAGGCGACGGTTACCACTTTCCATCACGTGGGTCGTCAGCTTGTTTGCCATTCTAAGTTGTATAAAAAAAAACTCGCCTTTGTGCATTTGAGTACCTCTGTCATATTTTTATAACTGGTGTGTACAATAAAGAATAAATAAATAAAAAAATAAACTATATAAATATTACAGGACGTATTACAAGATTACAACTGCAGACCCATCTAGAATCGCTTTGTATATCGACGAGGGATAAAACAAACCTCCTCCGCTTAATGGAGACCAATGTGCCCATCCAGGAGGTGAAAGAAATAGTATTTGATAGCAAATTGAGGAGTGCCAAGTGGAGTAAGAAAATCAACCAGGCATTGGACGAGTTGGAAGCTGTATATGTGAATGCCAAAGCTCTTGGCTGCGAGGTAAGTGTTCTATGTATTTCGTCATCAACCTACCTGCCGTTAACTGTCCACTGCTGAACATAGGCCTCTCCCTATTGGAGGGCTTTGCCCGTAGTTACCACGTTTAGCAAGCGAGTTGGCAACCGCAGTTAGGCTTTGGTGATGTTTAAAGAAGGCTATTAAATTCCATTAGTTGCGTCTTATAACTTTCACAGGAAGGAAGGGGGGGTGACCCATTCTATACTAGGACTACACTGCTACTTATATGTAGTCGAACAATGTTCAACTCGTCGTGTGTGTCCCCGGATAGAATCGGCTACCACTTTCTCTCCCATGAGTGTCGTAAAAGGCGACTTAGGGAGGGCGAGGGATGGACAGTAGTATCCCTCTTAAAACGTCTGAAAGCCTAACTGGGTTTTGCTAACCCGCCTGCCAAGCATAGCAACTACTGGCAAAATTCCCCTTATGCGGTAGGCGTATGTCCAGCAGTAGACAATTAATAGCTGAAATAATAATAATAATAAATGTCCAACTGAAATTTCACTGTTGAATTGTCCCAGTGTCCCATGACTGTGGCTCCGTGTTTGGCATACAACGCGAAGCAGCACAACGGTGTATTCTGGCAAATGAGCGTAGCCCGCCATTGGGAACACAAGCCAACCGCTAAACAACTGTCTGGCGACCTCATCGCGGCTGGAGGAAGGTAATGGAGATATTTGCTTGAAAGTTGTATAACAGAAAAAAAAATAGAAAAAAAAAAAGAAAAATGTGAAATAGTAACCCTGTGCACGATTCTGTGGCATCTTGGGTGTGTTTCCGGGCGAGGTACCAGTGTAGATATATCATTCCTAGGTCTATTTCAATTTACCAGAGGGAGAATTTGTACAAAAGTCGATTGCTTGGGTACCTCTGTCCCATTCGTGTTTCAACCGTGAAGAATATTCTGTTCTATTCTTAACTGTCCACTGCTGGACATTGGCCTCCTCCATAAGCCTCCTTATGAAGGAGGCCTATGTCCGGTAGTTTGTCATTAGCTGCCATCAATAGTATTATTTTAAGTGGGTCGCTACAGTCTATCCCTCGACTATTAAGTTTCCTTAGTCGCCATTTACGAAGTCCACGGGAAATTAAGGGGTAGCCCATTCTACGTCAGGACTACACGACCGCCAATACTAATACAAATAAAAAAACTATTTCGATACGTTTCTAATTTCTTTTATAAGTGTGTTTACTTACTTTTGCACTAAGTTTTATCGAAACAGGTGATACGATGGCGACGATGAAGTAAACTTAATAATTATTCACTACAGATACGACGCCCTCGTCGAAGAGTTCTGGGAGGTGGCCAGGACGGAGATGGACCAAAATGAACAGTTGAAGAGCTGCTCTGTCGGCTTCTCCATGTCGCTGGAGAGAATAGTCGCCATATTGAAAAAGATGGAAGTCGATTTACCGCCTACAATGAAAGATAACGACGTAAGAAGTTTTACCGTTATATATATATATATATATATATATATATATATATATATATGCTGATGGAGTAAGCATTGTTTTGCCCCCTACCGCTGCTTACCGGGTACATTTATGATCAAGATAAACTATGTAACAAATAACACATTACAAGATGTTATTTAAATATATTGAGCGGATTCAGACATTAGCCTCAACAAGCATCGTGATACGGTATTTTTATATATTACGAGCAATTTGAGTTTTTAGCCAATTATCAAATGTTGACCTGAATACCCTATGTTACTCGTTGATAATGTAGCTGTCTATAGGTTAAAGAATTCTTCAAAGCGGTTGAGTTCATTACAAACAAACAGTCAGATCTTTATACTTATCACACACACACACACACGCACGCACACACGCACGCACGCACGCACTCACGCACGCACGCACGCACACGCACGCGCACTCACGCACACGCACGCATACGCACGCACACACACGCACATACACGCACACACGCGCACATACACGCACACACACGCACATACACGCACACACATAAAATAAAATCTGTTTTAGTTACACCGTTTATAACTTTAGAACGGTTGGTAGATTTTAATGATCTATGTTTTGTTGGATTCGTCTCCGTGCCGAATGGCAGAATAACTATGGAAATATCAGAAAGATTGACGTAAAAAACTATAGAAAAAAATATATATATATATTTTTTTTTTCTGTAGTTTTTTACAAATTTATCCTTTTACGATCAACGCCTGTTTTTTAGTCGCAATTTTTATATTCCTCAATAGGGTTAATGTATATGGTAAAACAACGTTTGGCGGGTTAGCTAGTATATATATATATATTTTCTATAGTTTTTTACGTCAATCTTTCTGATCTAATATATACGAGGTTTGTCCGGAAAGTACGTATAAAAGTTTTTTAAAAATTTTATTTTACAATTATTCAGGTAAATCAATTTTATCCCCTTCAAAGTACTCCCCCTGTGACATAATGCACTTGTGCCAACGCCGTTTCCACTGTGAGAAGGCTCCTTGAAAGTCCTCTGGTTGTAGGTTTCTCAGCTGCCCCGTCGTAGCTTTTTTTATCTCATTTATGTCCCCCAAATGCCGCCCCCGAAGTACCAATTTGGTTTTTGGGAACAAGAAGAAGTCACACGGGGCCAAATCCGGCGAATAGGGGGGGTGTTCGGTCACCGTAATGGAATTTTTACTCAAAAACTCACGGACAACAAGAGAGGTGTGGGCAGGGGCATTGTCGTGGTGAAGAATCCAACGCCCCTCTCGCGCCAATTCTGGACGAACTCGTGCCACACGAGCTTTGAGGCGTCTGAGCACATCGACGTAGAATTTTCCATCAACTGTCTGGCCTGGAGGGACGAATTCTTGATGGACAATCCCCCGAACATCGAAAAAAACAATCAACATTGTCTTGACATTTGAGCGGGATTTTCTTGATTTTTTTGTTCGTGGTTCCCCGGATGTCTTATCGAATTAGATCGGCAAAAATTTCACGGCCATTCTTGCCGAGTTTCGAGAGAAACTTGATTACGACGCGCTGCTCTTCAACGGAAGCGGGCTCCATGCCGACGGGGTTTCGTTAAGAGGTAACTTCACAGATGGCGTGACAAGCCAGTTCGCACCGCACGGCGGTCAGACCAGAACTGAAGCATTGTTAGGGACATAAGGAAGGGGTCCTGCGCTTACCTGGCCTCCCCACTCCTCTTTCTCGCATTCCAGAACACTTTTATACGAACTTTCCGGACAGACCTCGTATATATATATATATATATATATATATATATATATATATACAGGTAATAATTGATTAGTCCGCAATATTGTATTGGCAGTCATCGCTCATATGCGTGTACGTGTCGGGCAAAGCGGGCAACGACAAGGAGGGCCAGGCGGCGGCGCTGTGCGCGGGCGTGGCGCGCGAGCTGTGGGCGGCGGGCCGGCGCTGCGCGGGCTGGCCGGCCGGCGACGCGCGCGACCTGGCGCGCGCCGCGCTCGTGCTGCGGCCCGCCGGCGCCTGCCTGCGCGCCACCTGCTGGGCCAGCCGGTAAACTCGCGCTTCTCCTTACACGTATACATACACGATCAATGGAGTTGTTTTTTGTTTACAACACGGGGCAAACGGACATGCGGCTCACTTGATAGTTTTTTTTTTTTTTTACAACACGGGGGCAACGGGCATGCGGCTCACCTGATGGTAAGTGACTACCGCAGCTCATGATCACCCGCAACACCAGCGGCATTGCAGGTGCTGCCGGCCTTTTAAAAGGGAATATACTCTTTTCTTGAAGGTTATGTTGTCGTATCAGTAAATGCTGGTATTTGGGGTGGGAGAGACCTGGTTCGAGCTGATAACTGCTTTGCGCGCCATCTGTTGAGCGAACGAGTGAACTGATATTTATTTATAATTTATTACAAGCAACACGAAATTAATGCCGCAGATATAGACGACGACACAAACAGAATATTCTGTCGTTTTTAATTATTATAGAAAAAAGATTCAACAGTTTTTACCCACAGCCCTAGTCTGTGCGTTGCGGTATAATTTTAATACGAAGAATAACTTTGTTTTTTTTTTATATTTCATAGAATTTCTCCATAAAATATTATGACATATTACACAATTTCAAATGAAAAAAAGGAGGAAAATATTTAAAGATCCGGGATGAATTTCCATTGGTTGTAGTTCAGAATAATAGTCTGAATTCACTGTTTTAGTTTTTACCATCCTGCCCCTTACACCCTATATATATATATATATATATATATATATATATATATATATATATATATATATATATATATATATATATATATATATATATATATATATATATATATATATATATGTTTTTATTTATTTGTAACATAACATACTTATTCATACGTTTAAATAAATAACTGTGTATGTCTTGAAATAGATTTATTTATTACTAGCGGCCCGTCCCGACATTTTTAACATTTCCCTTCACTGCTCTGCTCCTATTGATCGTAGCGTGATGAAAAGTATACTATAACCTGCCCAGGAGTATGAAGAATAATTGTACCAAGTTTCGTTAAAATCCGTCGAGTAGTTTTTGTTTCTATAACGAACATACAGACAGACAGACAAAAATTTTACTGATTGCATTTTTGGCATCAGTATCGATCACTAATCACCCTTCGATAGTTATTTTGGAAATATATTTCATGTACAGAATTGACTTCTCTACAGATTTATTATAAGTATAGATAAATCTGTAAATGTTGATCCGTCAGTATTGTACATTTTAATACGCTTACAGAATCCTATTTTATTAGACGTTTAAAATTGTGTCTTGTTTGCAGCGTGATAGAGGCCAAATTAGCACCTTGCGAGGTAATTGACTTCGTGAAACAAAACCTCAGCCCTACTATTCCACGAACACCAGAGGGTAAGTGATATTTTACAGCTAATTCCCACTGACAAGAGAGTTCACTCTCATTTCTTAGAGCCCGAAGCTATACGCGACCAGCGTATAGCACTGTTTCAAAGATGCTTCCTCCCTCGAACGCTCAGGTTATGGAATGAGCTCTCCATCGAGGTTTTCCCAAGAGATAATTACATGGGTATGACGACATGATGTGCTTTAAAAAAGGGATAAAGAGGTAACTTCAGAGTCGACAATGCGCGTGTAATGCCCCTGGTATTGCAGGCGTTCATAGGCTACGGTAACCGCTGACCATCAGCTGGGCTGTATGCTTGTTTATCACTCCAGTGATATTAAAAAAATACTTAGGTTATTTTGCGGACATCCTAATTTTGGATTCTATCTCGCAAAAAAACTCCGGCCGTAGCAGCCCGACCAAGTAACCGACATAACCCGAAGGATAAGCAAGCTGAAGCGGCAATGGGCTGGTCACATAGCTCGAAGAACCGACAACCGATGGGGAAGAAAGGTTCTTGAGTGGCGACCCCGTACGTGCAAACGCAGTGTACGACGACTACCGCACTAGATGGAGTGACGACCTCAAATGCATCGCAAGATGACTCAGGACCGTTCCTTATGACGGTCTATGGGGACGCCTTTGCCCAGCAGTGGACGGATAATGGTTGAAATAATAATGATGAAGATACTCAAACGATTTCAAAAATACTTTCTCCTATAGAAAAGCTACATTATCAACGAGCTATATAAGCGATGTGTTATACGAGACCATGCATTAGCCGCATTATAAAAAGAAGTACTGAACATCTCATGTCATTTTTTTTTTTTTATACAACATAGAATGGCAAACAAGCTGACGGCCCATCTGATGGAAAGTGGTGACCGTCGCCTATAGACATGAGCAGTACCATGGACATAACAGAGTATACAGTTTCGCTCATGATACCCCCCATGCGTTGCCATTCCTGAGGACTCAGGTGTTATTCCTCTGTACCCAGTAAATTCACGCCATATCCCACCCTTCAAACCGAAACACAGCCATGCAAACACTACTGCTTCACGGTTGAAACACGAATGGGACAGAGGTACCCAAGCAATCGACTTTTGTACAAAGTCTCCCTCTGGTCAATTTTAATACACTTGTAATATACATTACATATATGCCAAATCGTCCGCCATTAGATATAGGCAATAAATATAAAAATAGGGGAGAAAATATATAATTTTTTTTATAATCGAATCACAGAATAATATATTGTGGCCCTCACAACAAACAGCCTTTGACTAACAGACCTAAACGACCAAACATTTATAATTAAAATAAAGTTATTTACAACGAATATATTGCACTGTTTATATTTATATATGTTAGCATTAATACTACAATTATACCATCATTTAAATATGGAATTTTTAGAAGTCCCAAAATTCTGTCTAGTCGTGCGAAGCCGGCCCTGGTCGCTAGTTGTAATATTTTTTTTTTTCTGTTTCAGGATCAAGCAGCAGGTCAATGAGTTTGAGCGACATAGAGAAACCAAGTAACGTCACGTGTTCTATCATGTATATCACGTCGAAGGATGACTCCATGAATAGAAACACGAGAAGATTATTGGAAAACCAGGTTTGTTTCGGTTTTTTTTTAGAGTTTTATCAATTTTTCTGTGTGTATTTTTTTTTTTGTGTACTTTGTTTATTGTTTTAAAACTGTACGTAGTCCGTCCATGTACTCGCTGTGTGGCTTTCACAGAATAGCAATGCTATATGGCAGTAAATAAACTGCCATGGCATAACGCTGAATGTTGGTGGAAAGGGATTGTTAGCAATGGAGTTTGACAGCCCCATTGCTAGCAATATGCCTTATTAGGTCGACCTCCACGTGGGTCCCCCTGGAAACCATCGTGAACAATTCTCGTTGAATTCGTCACGATGGGCTAACTGACCTGCTTCATCCTCACCTATCATCCTTCACTGGTGCCCCGTCGGTGTATACCGATAGCGCGGGTGGGGTTACCATTTCATTATCATCCATTAAAAAAAAATGCTGAATGCTGGCTACGTTGACAACTAGTTGTATCAAGATTTAAATTTGTTGTCTCTATTCTGTTAATTCAATTTGTTGTCATTAAAGCTTTTTATTTCTTTCTTTCTTGTTTTTTCAATTGACTTCAAAAAGAAGAAGGTTCCCAATTCAGTTGAATGTTTCTTATTATGTTTGTTACCTCATAACTTTGTCAGTTGTAAACCGATTTGAAAGTTCTTTTTCTCTTTTTATCTGACAGGATATACTTACAAATAAGTGCCATATATATATATATATATATATATATATATATATATATATATATATATATATATATATATATATATATATATATATATATATATATATATATATTATTATTACAAACATCGTACATTACAACTAAAATTGGTAACCAGATCCACACGGCGGTGACGTCGCTGGCGTCCTCGCTAGGGGTGGCGGGACGGGCTCGGGCGCGGGTGCTGGCGCTGGGCTGCGACGCGGCCGCGCTGCGGGCCCTCGCCGCGCACACCGAGCTGGCCGCGCTGCGGGCCCCGCGCCCACACACGCCGCCGTCAGTACCCGCCCGGCATCACCTCACCTCAATAACACCCCATTACTAACTATCCCTTTCCCCACCCCATTACTAACAATACATCCTATCAGGTCGACTTCCATGCGGTTCCCCCTGGAAACCATCGTGGTTAATTCTGATGGAATTCGTCACGATAGGCTGACTGACCTGCTTTCCATGTCACCCATCATCACTCACTGGTGCCGATAGCGCAGGCGGTGTTACCATTCCATTATCACCAATAAAAAAAGCATGTACCTTACAACTATTATCCTTCACTGGTGTCCCAGTAACGTTCACCAGTGAGACATGAAAAGTGAGGTAGAAGACAAGTCAGTTAATCCACCCTGATGAATTTAACAAGAATTAATTTACAGTGATTTGTAGCATATGGAACCTCGTGGAGGTCAGCCTGATAGGGTATACATAGCATGATAATCTAGTAAAACAATGGGGCTACTAAATCCCATTACAAACAATCCGTTTCCCTTCACGCTATGACGTTATTCCTAAGTATCTAGTAATTTCACTGCCATGTTCCACCCTTGAATTCAAAATAATGTAAAAAGATAGAAAAAAAGATGCAGACTATCTCTGTCTAGAAACTAATCTCTGGACATAAGTAATTTAACTTATCGATTAGTCATTTTTATTCAAAATTTGCCATGCAAAAAACGAGATAATGAACGGACATCTGCACAAAACTATCTTTTGTCTGCTTCTTCGTACGCATGGATTCCAGATGGTAGTGAAACTACGAAATACAGAGTCATTGTTATACCAGCTTAGTTCACAGGAGTGGCAACGCGTGACGGATATCATGTGCGACACAGTGTACTCTATTATGGCCGCCACATCTTTCATGGATACAGGCTTGACCGTTGCCTATATACATGAACGGTACGGTGGACATAAAATATTTTTTCATCAGGTGTACCATCAGATTGTTTGCTGTTCTTTTAATCACATATGATTTAAGAAAACCAATAAAACATGCCACTTTTAGGTGGCGTAAAATGAAACATACACTAGATTTTAAATTAGACCTTTAGTACTGCGTCCATTCGTCACGTACTTCATGTTTATCTACGCATGACACACGCACGCACACACGCACGCACACACGCACATACTCACGCACGCACTAACACGCACCCACGCACGCACGCATCGACACATACCTACACATTGTTTTTATAGTCGTTTTCTTTGATTTAATTTTTAGTTATTATTATTACTTACTACAAACTGTACAGTGTGTCCGAGTTGGTGGCCTGGATTCCTGAGATGCAGATTTTCGATCTATTTTAGTGTTCAGTCTCCCACAAGTTTTACAGTGTCGTATATGCATTTATACATATATTAACTATATATTTTTTTCTTGCCTGTTTTCTGTAAAATTTGTGAAGATAAATCTTATCTAATTATATTATACTCTTCTCCATCCTAAGATTGCCTGGAAGAGATCGCTCTTAGCAATATGGTCGCTAATTAATAAAGATTATCTATCTATATTTATATGCATTAATATTTACTATTACAGATTCATCAAAAACAATAATGTTCTAGAAGAAGCATTAGAAGAGTTGACAATCATTGCCAACCAGACAAACTCGAATCGGTCCACGGAGGAGACCCAGCTCATCATCCTGTACTCCATACACGATTCCATATGTAAAATAGTAACTTAATAGCAAATATTGTAATGCAAACAGTGGCAACACAACGCGACGTGATTTCGAGTAAAATTTATGTATTTATAACCAACACGGCAGTTTAAAATTAAACATTACAAATTTGATAGATAATTCTGGTGTTGCCACATTTCTGTATGAATCAACATACCTCCTAAACACTTCACTGGTTTTTTTTTTTATATTTACCAATAGTACTTTTCTTACTGTTACATATACAGTATATATATTTTTATTTTAATAAAATGACAATTAATTGATAATCCTGCTTGGTGGGACACCAGTGAGGGATAGGAGATGAGAATGGAAGCGAGTCAGTTGGTCAATACCATCATGTCGTATTCATTAGAGATTATGGAATGGTTTCTAAAAATAACTACGTAGAGATCGACCTCAGTATATTTGTTAGTATGGAATATATATGTATAATCTATAATAGCAATGGGTTGCCCCTTTAATCAACCACGTCATTCCATTTTTAACATTATGTTCAACTTATAAAGTTGTTATTTAGTTGTACATTAAAAATTATTAGTTGTAAAATAATTGCTGGTAATGGAGGAACATTATAAGCAATTTGAAAACTCGAAAGAACTGGAACAGAGAAAGAGATTTGTACTAAATGTTTTGCCTTTTTCTTTCACAATTATAACGTAATCAAAAGGAGACAACTCACTTTTTTAATAATTATTTGACGTTTTTATGAATTAGAAAGTTGCAGCCCTAATTATAAAAATTGAACATATAAACTTATTTTATCCATTAATGTTTTGTCACTTTCGTTCATATTCAAAATTCAGCGGAAAAGAAAAAGACAAATCAATAGCTAAAATAGTTTTTATTGGATATCTTACTTTTTTATGTATTAGGAAGTTAAACTTTTATTTTATTTAGGATTATTGAGTACAAATAAAATTAGTTGTGTAGTTACTAACGTCTTGTTGTTGACGCATTGAACTATAAATCGTTAATTTTACAATTGCTATTGTATTTTTTTAATCGAATAATTTTACTAGACTTTTACAAATGTAGTTACGTCTAATTTTAAGACTATTATCGATATATGGAATGCCTAATTTTAAATGTTGCCATGACAAAAAAAAAAGTATTTTAATTAAATAGCGTCTATGCTACTTCGTTATATTTGACTTTATTTTATGCCAATTAGCATTTACCAAATTTAGATTAATATTTTGTTACTAGTTAGAGTATGACCATAAACAGTTTTTTAAAATTATATTATAAATTCACAAATAAGTTTATAGATCTATTGTTGTGATAAAAAAAAAAGATAACGCATTTAAAAACTTTTGGTGTTTAGTCATTTATTTAAAGGATATGTTAGGCATTTTTGCATGTCTTACAATTTTTATGATACACACAATGTATTCAAGTATTATTTAGGATAATTCTAAATACAAAACTGACAGTTTTTATTTTTTTTTTTATGATAATATTCTCTTTATTTTAAATGTTATGTACAAAGTTCTTAGTGCAAAATATGCTAATCCCATAATACAAAAGAGCATTAATGCTCGTTTTAGAATATGCTGTCATATTCGTAAACTAAAGAGAGATTGAATTGGTAGATTATTTGACATTTCCTATGATATAAAAAAACGTGTCAATAATTTTATCAATAAGTCACGATATCTTCATCCATAATTCATTAACTTCTTTATATGGAAGTTTTGTAGTCTTATAATGATAAATTGTTATGAACCCAATGTGTCCCATAGAAAATAATTCACTTTTGATGGCCTTAATAACTATCTAAATAAATATGTTTATTTCAAAAGATAGACATTACGTCATAAAATTTTCAAACAGCTTCATGACTGATCATTCTCATCACTGAAATTCTGAAATCTATTATCTCTTTTGAGCATAATTATGCTTGCTCTTATAATCTGCTTTCGGCATAACTTTTGAAATAATTATATTTAATTAAAAAATGTAAAATATTATGTTTATACTTAAATAAATTGTCGACCGTTACATTTGAATTTGTTTCTATGGATGTATTTCTTGAATAATATTTTTTAACAGTAATAATAAGTGTAACATTTGAAATATAAATTTTATACAAAATATTTTGTAATATGTTTAAAAAATTATAAAACGATAATACATATTTTCTTAAATTCTTTATTGTCTTATTTTCAGACTTACCATCATCATCATTTCAACCAGTATCCGTCCATTTTCAGTCTTATGTGGTTAATTACTTTATGTTATTACTTAGACAATAATTATTCTTTTATAACATATATTTATCTTAGGCATTTAATTTATAATATAATTTTTTGTTAATCTCGAATCTTTTTCTAACAATATGGTAATTCCTAGTTGAATTAACGCTAACACAAAACCCCCCCTTTACAAAAACCATAATAGAATTCTTTTCTTATAATTCGTACAAGATTATGAGTTCGACTGTAAAATTAATCGTATTACGATTCAAGTAAAGTAGATTTTCTAACAAAACTTCCCATTGTGACAGGCAAATACTTCTCTTAATATTTTGTTAACTATACAATATTATTTCTTACAAGGTGTACATAGCATCGTCAGTCAGTGTTCTTCCTTGAGATATTAATGGCGCAAACGTCATATGAACTGGAGGTACGGCCAGCGCTGGGCCCATATTGTTAGTAAATGAGTTACACTTTGGTGCCGTGACCAGGATACAAACAATGGTTGAGAGAAACATGGCAATTATTGCCCAGAACATAAGGATTAGGAGGAATCTCGCTCGGCGCCAATTTACATCGTGTCTTGCTTGTAGAACCTCTTCATAAGTTAATGGCCTGAAAAAAGTAAATATTTACAATATTGCCTTATTGTGTTTCCCAAGAAATACTTTTCATGAATTTACGTATCGTAAGGATAAATTTTCTAACTAACATATTCTATAGAAACTTTGCGAATGACACTACTCTGCAATTCGCGATACCTGTTACAGGTGTTTCACCACTAGGCGGGGCGTATGCTTATTAGCTACTTATGTAGGATAAAAAGAAAATGATAATAGAAAAAAAATATTAGAATTTTTATTATGTCACGTATAAATATTTTACAAAAAAATAGTATTAATTATTGAATATGAAATTGAACTGATAACAATGGTCTTGAAAGAGGAAAAATAAGAACCAACCCAATATTTTTTTAGAATTTTGTCTATATGTATTTACCAGAAGGAGACTTTGTACAAATGTTGTTTGCCTGGGCACCTCTGTCCCATTCGTGTTTTTACCGTGAAACAGTTGTGGTTGCATGGCTGTGTTTCGGTTGGAAGGGTGATATATGGCAGTGAATTTACAGGGTACAGAGGAATAACACCCGAGTCCACAGGAATAGTAACGCATAGGTGTATCATGTGCGAAACAGTATACTCTGTTATGTCCATGATACTGCTCATGTGTATAAGCGACGATTATCACTTGCCATCAGGTGGGCCTTCAGCTTGTTTGCTGTTTCTTATTATGCTGTATATACTGTTGTATTAAAAAAAAAAATGTTTAGAAATTTAATGCCTTTTTCATAGATATGTTCCTGCAAGTTTAACTAAAAATGTTTTCTATGTTTTATCTACGAAGTTGCGAGCCAGTTTGTATAGAATAAAATAAATACTACTGTTTTTGCATTTGACCTATATGAATAAATTTCTCTCTTTATTGGATAGTTAGCTGTATCCCGCGGCATTACTTGCATGAATCAGTATATTAAGTATCCTAAGCGCTAAATTAGATTGAGACCTACTATATTTGATATTCGAATATTTAATACTTTATATGGGAAAGCTTAAGTGCCAATTGGCCGGCTATATAGCTCGAGCTCCGGATAGTTATGAAGCAGTTGTGTTTGCATGGCTATGATTCGGTTTGAAGGGTGGGACATGGCGTGAATTTACTGGGTACAGAGGAATAACACCTCAGGAATGGCAACGCATGGGCACTACAAGGAGAATTGTATTATAAAAACTTTATTGTACATTATTTATATTGTTGTAGAGTTGCTGGATAGAAAAGAGTCAGGGACCTACTTTGTGTTTTTTTTTTCAAGCTGTAATTGCTGTTGGTTGTAGATAGTCTTGTCAGCTTCACCGGACGTGATCGTGCTTTGTGGTATATTATGTTCAACAGTGGCAATGTATATATTATAATGATAATATCTATATGATAACTGCTTCACGGTTGAAATACGAATGGGACAGAGGTTGGGTACCTCTGTAATCGACTTTTGTACACTTAATAAAGTAAAATATTTAAAAAATCTTTACTTAAGATCTTTTAGATGGCTTAATTTTAAAGGACAGCCACTAACCATCTCTGTTTGCCCCATGGTTGACTGCTTAGATTACTGTAATACGTTATACTAAATTATACGGTTGATTGGTAGAGAACGCTTGTAAGTGTTATGTCCACGATGTGTAGGTACCTTTGTTATGTAGGTACATGAAGTAAATAAGTAAATGAAATGATAATTTGTCTATTCTTGCTTCCTTTATCGTATTTACATATTTATATATACTCTGTATTATTTCCTCCAAAATATTACAATAGTAAACTTATTATAAATATAAACAATTACAAGAAATAATCAAGAAATAATGTGAAAACAATAGGCGACTTTATCGCTAAAAGCGATCTCTTCCAGGCAACCTTTGGATGGAGAGGAGTAATTATACAATATATATATATATATATATATATATATATATATATATATATATATATATGTGTGTATATATACATATATAAAGATTGTAACGATGGACAGATGAATATTCGATTAGAATTAATTACTTTGTTAATTCCGCTACCATTAGTATGTGTGTGACTGCCAACACTCGAAGATTAACCACCACTATTACCTTAAACCATGTGGTCCCGGCATAGAATAAGCCACTCCTTCCTTTCCCGTGGGTGTCATAACAGTTGACTAAAGGAGGGCGAGGTATAGGCAGCTGCGTCTCTCTTAAAACATCTCCTAAGCTTAACTACGGTTACCAATCCGCCTGCCAAGAGTGGCAACTACTCGCAAAACCCCCCATTGGAAAAGGCTTATGTTCAGCAATGGACAGTTAAAGGCTGATAGAATGATGATGACTACTTTAAGAAATTCCACAATCATTAATATTAGCCATAATCATTAATTTCATATTAACAATCTCCGACTGCCATTTAGTTCACGCACGTTTTACGACACGTGTTTCACCTCGAAACGAGGAATCTTTAGACAAAATATTAGATCACTCCTCGAAGCCTAGTGTTAACCGTTCAATGTACAGATGTATGTTTGTTACTCTTTCACGCGAAAACTACTGAACAGATTTGAACGAAATTTGGTACACGAGTAGGTTATATCCTAATTTAGTAGATAGGATACTTTATATATAATAGTTAAAAAGTTATTATATACTGAAGGAATTTTTTTAGTGAGAAAATTTAATTGTATTTGTACCTATTTGTTTTATTTTAATGTAATAATGTTTTATTTATTTTGTGTTAATCGACTATGCGTGTATAATATAAAATGTAGTTATGTATTTTATGTAATATTTATTAATGTGATTGCTGTGCCATATAGGGTTCATGTTGATTTTGCACCATTAAGATCTATATGTACATGAAATAGCAATAAATGATTGAATTGAATTGAATATACTGATTTATGCAGGAGACGCCTAGAAATAGAGCTAGTATCTAATAATTATGTATGTATGTGCACTTACAATGCCTAACTATGCGTGGAGACCTATTATAGACTATTTGTTTCTTAATATAATTTATATTTACTTTTAATGTTGGAAAAGCTGTTGGTCTTTCAAATATACAAATTGTTATTGTTTACTTGAGCACCTCTGTTCCATTCGTGTTTCTACCATAAAGCAGTTGTGTTTGCATAACTGTGTTTCGGTTTGAAGGATGGGATATGGCAGTGAATTTATAGGGTATAGAGGAATAACATCTGAATCCTGAGGAAAGGCAATACATGGGGCGTATTATGGGCGAAACAGTATACTCTGTTATGTCCATGGTACTGCTCATGTTTTTTTTTTTTTTTTTATGCAACTTAGAATGACAAACAAGCTGACGGCCCACCTGATGGAAAGTGGTAACCGTCGCCTATAGACATGAGCAGTACCATGGACGTAGCAGAGTATACTGTTTCACCCATGATACCCCCCATGCGTTGCCATTCCTGAGGACTCAGGTGTTATTCCTCTGTACCCAGTAAATTCACGCCATATCCCACCCTTCAAACCGAAACACAGTTATGCAAACACAACTGCTTCACGGTTGAAACACGAATGGGACAGAGGTACCCAAGCAATCGACTTTTGTACAAAGTCTCCCTCTGGCTAAAGTCTATAGGCGACGGTTACCACTTTCCATCAGGTGGGCCGTCAGCTTGATTGCCATACTAAGTTGCATAAAAATAAATACATAAATAAATAAATACCTGAAAACACCGTTTATAGTCATATTCCTGACTGAACTGAGCAACGGCTGTTTCTCTGCGTCCATATTGTTATATTTTGCTGTTCAAATCCACTACACTTTATAATATAAAATTATTTTATTATCCACTTATACAATCATAATAGGTATAATTAGTCGTGTGCTTGATAGAGCATCGTCTCGGCAACTGGACATGAACTCATAATTATCAAGGAAATTAACTATATTAATAGATTGTACTGCTTACTAATTTACCTTCATAAACAAAGTAGATACTTATACAGATAATATAATACTACGTTATACTTATATATACATATATTATACTAATACACACAGATAATGATAGGCGGCGCCATTCGATTTCTTAATTTAAATTATATTTTTTTATTTTATTTTACAAATCGACTTCGAACGTGATATGACCAGTTATTTTCATTTAAAATTCAAACTACTCAACCGTATTGATAAAATTTCTATATCCCATAGAATTTAAAAAGAAATTCTAAATAAAACCAAAAAATAAAATAATCTAAAAATATATTTTACTTACAGATAAAAAAGTAATTTTCCAAATTAGTTTATAAGTATTTAATTATGAAGTAACAAATGTAAATAATTAAAAATTGTGTCCCACGAGATAACCGACTTCAGTTGTGACAATACAAGTTAATTTGATTTAAAAACGAAACTAGTAAACCGATTTTGATAAAATTTCTACGAGACCAAACTTTAAGTATATCCTTTCAGATAAAAAAAAAAACAATTTTCTAAATCGATTTACAACTGCCGTAGTATTGAGGTAACAAACAAAAAAAATACGACCAAATTAAGAAGCTATTTCTTTTTGAAGTCGGTTGGGTAAAAGAATACAGCCAAATTAAAAAAAATCTTTTGTGAAAGTTACTTGAAAAACTAGGCCTGTTGGTCATTGCTATACAAGTCATAACATCCCGTATAATTAGTTACGCTTAAAACTGTCCTGAATATTAATTGAAGATCAATCCTATTATGGTAAAATAATTTTCATTTTTAATAAAGGTTTTTTTTTATCCAACTTAGAATGACAAACAAGCTGACGACCCACCTGATAGAAAGTGGTAACCGTCGCCTATAGACATGAGCAGTACCATGGACATATCAGAGTATACTGTTTCGCCCATGATACCCCCCCCCCCCCCCATGCTGTGTAATATATAGCAATATCTAGATATTTTAGTTACAAATTAAATATACTGGTCTAATATCGAATATATTAACAAAAGTCCAAAAAATAATATTGGATAACAAACTTTAAATATTTGAAAATACGGTCATACGATCGATTTGGGTGATATCAAAATGGGTGATGACCTTTTTCCGCTATCAATGTCTGGAAGAATACAATATATATATATATATATATATATATATATATATATATATATATATATATATATATATATATATATATATATATATATCCAATATCGAATCCATATTACCCATGCCTAATCTTAATATCTGTTTCCACGCAGTTGTGACATCTTGCATTCATATGCAATGAATCGGTTATAATTCGTTATTCGGCCTTGGTGCTTACCATAAAAACTATAAGCGTGGACTACTTGCAGGGTCAAGGTGTTGTAATGGGACCGTAATGTTGTAATTAAAAACTGAATCTCCTTCGAATTAATCTTTATTTTAAATACATACGATACAAAGAAAAATATGCACTTCTAACAACGTTGATTGACAGATCATGTGTTGTGATGTTCCCATGTGTAAAAAATTATTCTATACATTTTATAAATTATTATTTATATTACTAACAGACCTAATCGACTATTTTCATCCTTAGATTATATAGACAGAGCACCAGGAAGAGCCTTTGTACAAAGTTGTTTGCTTGGGTACCTTTGTCTCATTCGTGTTTCTACTGTGAAGCAGTTGTGTTTGCATGGCTGTTTTTCGGTATGAAGGGTGGGATATAGCAGTGAATTTAAAGCGTACAGAGGAATAACACCTAAGTCCTCAGGAATGGCAACGCATGGGGGGTAACTTGGGCGAAATAGTATACTCTGTTGTGTCCATGGTACTGCTCATGTCTATAGGCGACGGTTACCACTTTCCATCAGGTAGACCGTCAGCTTGTTTGCCATTCTAAAATACATAATAAAAAATAGAGCACGGAGTCTCAAAAACGGTTCAGCTCGTCAGCTAATTTTCAAATTAGCTGACTCGTTTTTTTATCAGTATTCTATATATTTACACACATAATGGATGTTGACGTATTTATATTTAATTATTTAATAAATAAAGTAAATTTTTAAGCATTAAAAATTACGAAAATTGTATTATAATTACGAAAAAACAAAATAAATATAGAAGTTCGAAACACTCACAACTATTTATCACGCAAAATTGTATGAAAAAGTTGACCCGCTTTTCTCGAAGCATTTGTATGGAGACATTATTTATATAATCTATATAATTTTCATCCTATTCGGCTGAATACCGAATACTTATTTGTTGTTATATGTTTTGTCATAGATAGATAATTTGTAACATGAAAATATTAATTTATTTCAATACATTTTTCTTCAATTACTTACAGGTACATAATCAAATTTTGTATTACAAAAATTAAAAAATAAATAATGAAATAAATGTCTTTGTGTTTGAATTACCATATTTTAAAATATAAAAATTTTAGATTACTTTTTTATGCAACTTGGAATGGCAAACAAACATACTGCCCGTCTGCCGATTAAAATCAGCTCAACAATTTCAAAGCTTATCTACCGATAAACAAACACAACTAATAACTTTTCACTATACATAATACAACTAGAGATAACGCATCATGCCACAGGGAGGCTGAGGTCAAAAGTAAGTTTATTATTAACCGCGCTGATCGTGATTACTAGAAATTTCGATAACACTCCCAGTACAATAACGTTATCGTCGACCGACATAACTGCTTGTTGTTTGATCGTAATTATGCCATTATAATCAAGCCTTTTCAGCCAACTTCAAACGATAGAGGTGCTGGTCAATTCAGTGGTATTGTTTTTGTCTTTGTTACGTCAAAACCCCCTTTTATATCCCCCATTTTTTTTTAAATGGATGATAATGGAATGGTAACCCCACCCGCGCCATCGGTATACACCGGCGGGGCACCAGTGAAGGGTGATAGGTGAGGATGAAGTAGGCCAGTTAGCCCATCGTGACGAATTCAACAAGAATTATTCACGATGATTTCCAGGAGGAATCACGTGGAGGTTGACCTAATAGGGCATATTGCTAGCAATGGGGCTGTCAAACTCCATTGCTAACAATCCCTTTCCCCCCACAAAATCAGTTATTATGATCTGAAAACTAAACAGCTGAACCGATTTTGGTGAATTTACTATGGGATCAACCTATAGGTAGATCCTTTCAGGTAAAAGAAAAAAATTCCAAATCGGTTTAGAACTGACGCAGTTATGAGATAATGAGTAACAAACATAGAAAAAAAACTACAGTCGAATTGAAAATATGTTTTTTTTTATTTGAAAGTCGATTAAAAAACGGAAAGTATGTTACCCACTACATCACATGTCGTCGCATACCTAACGACCTTAAGTTAACAAAAATAAACAACATTGGGCCTCCATTAAGTTTTCCCTCATATTCAACAACTTTCAAGTATATTAATAAACAGTTACCTAAACATACGGGCTGATAAACTTTTCACTCGACTTTCCCCGCTGAATTATGTACAATCCACACAAAATAACTTCAATGCATATACGTCTAGTTTCCACATGCGACTTCGTCCCCGTGACCGAGATACGTTGATTGACCGATATAAAAGGTGCCCCATGTCCTTTCCAATCCCAAACTCAATATGTATGTGTAATTAAAGTTTCATGGCTACTGGCTGAGCAGTTAAGGTGCCAGAAGGTAACAAACAAACTCAATTTCATATTTATAAAATTCCCATGGACTCTTGAATTTTATAAATGTGACAGAATCCATGGGAAAATAATTATTATTTAATACAAATTTTTTGTGGTCGTGTAGTCCTGCCATAGAAAAGGCCATCCCTTCTTTTCCCGTGGATGTCGTAAGAAGCAACTTCTCGTGGCGAGGTGTCGTAAGAGCTTATAGTCGAGGGATGGGCAGCAGCGTCCCTCTTAAAGCATCTCTAAAGCCTAACTGTGGTTGCCAATCTGCCTGCCAAGCGTGGCAACTACGGCAAATCCCCTCAAGGGGGAGGCTTATGTTTAGCAATGGAGAGTTAACGGCTGATATGATGATGATGACTAGCTTCTTGCCCGCTATGAAAATCACTTACTCACTTACCATCAGGTGAGCCGTATGCTCGTTTGCCCCCTGTGTTGTAAAAAAAAACAATATAACAAACCGGTTCTAGATGGCGTATCAAGATCCTACCTTCAGAAGTTGAACTATAAAAACCGCATTCAAATCGGTGCAGTACATTTCACGCGATGCATACAGAAGACGAACACTTTCTAACGAATTTCTAAAAATTAATGTATTGGCATCTTTTCTCTTAGAAAAATGCTATTATTGAATATTTAAATGACAAAAAATGTATTAAAAGATGTAAATGTATTAAAAGTTACTTGACAATTTTATATGATAATTTGACATAAATAATATTGTATTTAGGAAAATAAATAAATAAATATATACGGACAAATCACACAGATTGAGCTAGCCCCAAAGTAAGTTCGAGACTTGTGTTATGGGATACTAACTCAACGATACTATATTTATAATAGATACATATATAGATAAACATCCAAGACCCAGGACAATCAGGAAAAGATCGTTATCCATCATGACCTGGCCGGGGATCGAACCCAGGGACATGTTTGGACTATATACACGTACAATAATTGCAATGTAATGTAGACTAAATACAGTTTAACATTTGCATACCTTTGCGGGGTGCTGCATGTTATGTACCTACTTGTATATGTAACTTCTTATTGTACCATATAGCAAGCTTACTACGTCACAGCTAAAGATCAGCCCTTGTCCCTCTTAACGTACATCTTTGATATTGAACTAGACTGCAGTGCGTCCATTAGGAACCTAATTTTGAATCCTTTATGCAGTTATTAAACGCAGTAAAAGTCTGTTAATTTTTTTTATGCAACTTATAATAGCAAACTAGCTGATGGCCCACCCGATGGAAAGTGGTA